GTTACGAATCTTGCCCTGCCGGTTCTGTCATCGACGTGGTGAGACCGTTTTGCTTAATACCTCGATCAGCCGGTATCGGTATCTGGATGTGTCCTGAGGCGGCTCCTCGTCGGGATACATGTCTTCCCGCTCAATTGTCAGTCGGTAGTAGAAACCCTCTTCAAAATCGAACCCCTCGATGGTGTCGTAGAAAGGCTCTCCATTCACCACCAGGCATTCCTCCGGGCCTGCTCCGGCACAGTCCACGAGCTCGGAACCCACGGTAACCAGCAACGTCACTTTTTTGCCGGACGGAGTGCAGGCAATGAGCATGAACAGCACCGCCAGTGCAGCCGCAAGGGTTGCCGCTTTCTTGCGAATGGGCGGCGACCTGGTCCAGCCAAAATGGTATTTACCACTGAATTGCGACAATGAGTCCAAGGTTTGCCCTCCTTCATAACAATATTGAGTATCGATAATATTGATACGCTAATACTATAAGAATGGGTTCATTCAGAATCATTGCACTATGGAAACAAGGACAGCCGGACAGAAACGGCTGACATGCGGCCGTGCCAGACAGGCATCGGTACCCGGCTTGACACAGACCGTTGAGGACCCAGGCGAAGAGGCGAAGTCGGGGCGAGAGGGCGGAGCGTCCCACGGGAAAGGGACGTTAACACGGAGAAAACTGTCCCGATTCTCCTCTATTGCATTTGGTGATGAGTTGCTGTAATGTCCCGAAGAACTCGTTGCTGATAAGGGATTTCGGTATTCGCAATTTGCCGCATACGCGGCGAAATACGGACAAATTCGAAATCCGGGAGATGGGAAGATTCAACGGTTTATCTTACTGAGACTGGGGCAAGCTCTCCTCTCCCTATGGGTGGTGAGCATCGTAGTTTTTGGCTTGGGACGAATTACCGGAGACCCGGTAGACGTTATGCTGCCCATCGATGCCACCCACGCGGAAAGGGAGGAGATGAGGGAGCAGCTAGGCTTTAACGAACCGATCTGGTCCCAGTACGGGACCTATATGCGCAACAGCTTCAGGGGTCAGTTCGGCGAGTCCATCAAGTACCCTGACCACGAAGCCATGGGGCTAGTGCTGGTCAGGTTCCCAACCACCATCAAGCTGGCCGTGGTGGCCATCCTCTTCTCAATAGCAGTGGCCATACCTATCGGTGTGCTTTCGGCAGTCAAGAAAGACACTATTCTTGACTGGACAGGAAAGACCATCGCCCTGCTGGGACAATCATTCCCACCTTCTGGCTGGGCCTGGTGATGATGTGGATCTTCGCCGTCCAACTGGAGCTTGTGCCGACCTCGCAATGCCAGGGGGTAACGTCCTACATATTGCCTTCCATAACCATTGGCTGGTTTCTGGTTGCCGCCCTAATGAGACTCATGCGGTCGTCCATGCTGGAGATATTGGACAGCGAGTTTATCAACCTCGCTCGTACCAAGGGACTGCGGGAATCGAAGGTGGTATGGAAGCACGCGGTGCGAAACGCCGCCATAGCGCCGTTGACCTATTTCGGCATCATCTTCGGCGGCCTGCTGGTGGGATCTGTATCGGCGGAAACCGTGTTCAACTGCAAGGGCATCGGCCTGCTGGCATTCGAGGCAGTGCTGGCGCGGGACTTCCCGCTGATGCAGGCGATAGTGGTGTTCTTCGCGGGGATCTATGTCCTCACCAACCTGGTGATCGACGTGTTGTACGCCTACTGGACCCGCGCATCCGCTACTCGTAGGCAGACGGCGCCTCAGCCCCGGCAGCGATAAACCCTCTCCCGCAATGGGAGAGGGTTTTCTCTTGGTAGTTACGGCTCTACAACGGTCAACACCTGGTTCGGAGAAACATTCCGAAGGGTCTGGACAGCACCGCTGGGCCACTGCACCCGAAGCTCCTCGACAACATCAGCTTTCCCCAGCCCGAAATGGGCAGGAAGCATATTCTGCGAGGAGTTACTGGCCCCGGCGGAGATTTCGCGGATCTGCGAGCGGCCTCCGGTGGTCAGACTGATCCGTGCACCGATACCGTCTCGATTGCTCTCGGTGCCTACAGGCTTGACCACGAGCCAGTTGTTTCCCCAGTCGCAGCGGTTTCGGTACAGGCGGGCCGGTTCGCCCAACGCCGCCGAACGCCCCAGGTTAACGAGGAACAGGTCGAGGCAGCCGTCGCCGTCGAAGTCGGCGTAGGCCACGCCGCGGCCGGTGCCCCAGTCGGCGGCCCCGCTGACGGCCGATACGTCCGTCGAAGGCTCCTTCGCCGTTGTTGCGGAACAGCAGGTTGGGCTGCTCGCGGCGGTTGATGTCGTCGGTATCCAAGAATCCGCTGGCGACGTACAGGTCCTCGTAGCCGTCGTTGTCGTAGTCGAAGAAACCGGTGCCCCAGCTGACACGTGCTGGCGACGGAACTCGCCGTAGGCCACGCCGACGTCGTTGGCTCGCTCCTCGAAAGCACCATCGCCCGAATTAGCCAGCAGAACGTTGTCGGCGATGTTGGTTACGAACATATCGAGATAGCCGTCGGAGTTGTAGTCGGCCACGGCCACTCCCATGCCGAACATGGCCATTCCCGCTCCAGACTCCTGCGAAATGTCAGTGAAGGCCCACTCCTGTCCCTCGCCGGAAGCGCCGCCGAGCGGGCCATCGTTGCGCCAGAGGACGTTGGGGTGGATGTACTCGCCGAAGTCGTTGATGACGTACAGGTCCAGGTCGCCATCATTGTCGAAGTCCATCCAGGCGGGCTGGAAGCCTGCGCCCCAGACGCGGCCATACTCTCCGGCAGTGCGGGACGGGTTCAGAGTGGCGCCCAGCAGGTGGGTAACCTCGGTGAACGTGCCGTCGCCGTCGTTGTGGAACAGAGCCAGGGGGCGCACGTCGAAATGGTAGATGCGCTGGGTGAATGCGTCGGGGTTGGACTCGTCTATGTGCCGCACGACGATGAAATCCAGCCAGCCGTCGCGGTCATAATCGCCCCAAGCGCAGCCCATGGAGCGGTAGGTGCCATCGGGGTCGGACAATCCGGCGGCTTCGGCGACGTCGGCGAAATTGCCGGCGCCGTCGTTGCGGTACAGCCTGCTGGCAGCCCCAGTTGGCTACGAACAGGTCGTGGTCGCCGTCATTGTCATAGTCGGCGGCACAACCCCCGTTTCCTTTGGCCTCAGCATCGCTGACCCCAGCCTCCGCAGCCACGTTGGTGAAAGTACCGTCGCCGTTGTTGCGGAACAGCGCGTTCTCGTCATCTCCCTCAGGTGCCAGGCTGGCGATGTCTGGAGCAGTTCGATGTAGGCGTCCTGCAAGCCGTCGCCGTTGTAGTCGAAAACTACCACCCCGGCGCTAAGAGGGATGATATCCAGCAGGTTGCGGTAGTGGGTGAAGGCAAACCCGGATTGTTCGCTCACCTCGTCGAAAATCTCGACCTGATAGGTGAGGGCAGAGGACAGACCCACCGTTGAACCATCGGGATTTGTTACCGCAATATCAACCACCCCCGCAGCGTGGGCAGGGGTAAGGGCAACAGCGGTCTGGGCCCAGGAAGGCCCAGGCCGATTCGACACCGTCAATGGTTACGCCAGCACCATCGACAAAGCCGCTGCCGTGAACGGTCACCAGAACGTTGCCGCTTGTTCCCACAAAGGAGGGTTCGAGCCTATCGACCGCGAGCTCGCCAAGTTCCCTGTCTTCCAGGATGGCCTGCTCTGAACCGATTGCAGGCGCTCCAGTTACCGAGGCGCGAATGCCGATACCGGAGCCGCCCACCAGCAGGCTGACAGCGAGTATGCCGAGACCTGCGACGAGACCAAGTCCCCATGTTGCGGCGGCCAGGCTGGCCACAGTGCGCTTGGGCATGGACCGGGCAAGCCCCCAGAAGGTCACAGGGCCGCCCGCGGCGGCGGCGAACAGCAGGGTGGCTGCCGGCGCCTCTCCCATTCCGACCAGCAGCAGGGCTGCCACCAGCGGGATTTCGAACATCAGCGGAACGTTGATGAGCAGGCCAAGGGTGGCGGCTATCGCCACGCCCTGGGCGTTGTTGCCCAGGTACTGGCCCACGGAGTCGGGGCTGATCCACTGGATTACCAGGGCGCTGGCGAACCCGGCCAGCACCATCACAGGCGCCAGACGGATGAAGTATCGCAGGCTGGTGCGCGCCCAGTCCTTCAGTCCAACGGCCAGAACAGCCCGCCATGACGCCGCATCTGGCTGCTCTGCGTTCAGCGGGTTGAGAGGAATGTCTGGGGGAGGAACGAGAACCTGGTCGGGAGCCTGCTGGCCCCTGCTGGCGAGCCAAGCCACCAGGGGTCCGAGGAAAAGGGCAGCGATGATACTGATCCCGACACGGCTACCAGCCAGCATCGGAGTGAATACCAGTGCCGCCATCAGTAGGGCCGGGACGTTCATGGTGCTGGACCCGTGGACGATGGCGAGGGCGGCCTCCGTGCCGGCGCCGCGCTGCCGGAAGGCGTTGGCGACGGGTACGATGCAGGCGGAGCACAGGTTCATTGCGGGACCGACCAGCAGGCCCCCCAGGGAGCCGCGCACTCCCCGTCGAGACAGTGCCCCGTAGAGGCTCCCCGGCGGCAGCAGGAACGCCTCGGTCAACCCAGGCCATCAGGAAAGCGAAGACCATTCCCAGGGAGATCAGCTTCAGGTAGGCGAGAGAGAAGTCCCACCACCGGGAGAGGAGGGTGGACTCGGGTTCGCTTTCGAGGCAGAAACCCTGGAAACACTCCACCTCGGGAGCAGTGACCCCTGCGAGGTCGGCCTCTATCACGTCCAGCTTGGGGATGCGATTGAACCAGAGGAAAAGACCGAGTAGGACGGCCAAGAGGATCAGGCCGATGGCCAGTTGTTTCCTGCGGTGGGTGGCAAACATATCAGACGGTCAACCGGTTGAGGGGGCAGGAGATGAGGGTTTCCCGATTATACTCCGCGGGAGACAACGAAAATGGGCGGCCCGGGTGGGCCGCCCTGAGTAGCTTCCTTGGCCTGTCAGGCCGATTCGGTTTTCCCAGCTAGTTGCAGGGGTCCACGGTCTTGCAGGCGTAGACCAACCAGGTGTGGCCAACATCGCCGCCGTCCCAACCGGGGAAGATCCAGGTTTGGACGTAGTTGGGATCGAAGATGACCTCGATGAACACCTCAAACAGAGGGATGTTCTCAAACTGCTCGAATTTTATGTTGCCAATCTGGCGGAGCAGCGCGTCGCGGCCATCAAGGTCTGCGGTGTTGCGCAACTCGTCCCACAGGTTGAAAAGCTCGTCGGTCTCATACTGGTGACTGACGTTGTAGCCTGCGTTGAATCCAGCGATCTGTGTCTCCACCACCTTCTTGGAAGGCGGAATCGCCCACAGGTAGCCGAGATAGTCGCGGCTGCCGAGCGCGGGGATGACCGTCCCGGCCCAGTCCGTCTCTTGCAGGGTCAGGTCTATGCCAATTTCCTGTAGGTAAATCTGCACCTGCTCCATAACAGGTATCAACTCGGGGGCGCCGGGGAACGGGAACAGCCAAGCATTGGCCGAGAAGCCGTCCGAATAACCCGCCTCGGCCATCAGAGCCTTGGCTGCATCCACATCGTAGCCGTATAGGTCATCGAAGCGCTCAGCCCAGGTGGGATCCCAACCGGGCAGCCCCTCGTAGAAACCATGAACATAGGACGGGGTTACCCGGCCCTTGTACAGCTCCAGCCGCAGGGTATCGCGGTCGATGGCTTGGTTGATGGCCTGGCGGACGCGGGCGTCGGTAAAAGGCAGTTCCGGGTCCAGCTTGCCGGTGGTGCCAACGTACTTGTCCCGGGACACGTCTTCGGTCCCGAAGTACAGACCGGTGAAGTTAATCTGCACCTGCTGAGCTGGGCCGGTGCTCTTCACGAGGCCGTAGCCCTTGTTGACGAGCTGGTCGGTGAGATCTTTGTTGACCTCGGTCAAGTGGGTCTCACCGGTCTCGAACTGGGCCAGCCTGGTAGCCTCTTCCAGGGTCCAAGTCATGATCAGCTCGTTCCAGTCCACAGGGTGAACCCAGTGTTCTCCCGGGGCCTTCTTGTACAAAACTGATTCGCCCAGCTTGTGTTCCTCGAAAACGTATGGGCCTGTGCCGGCGATCTGGGTCTCGTAGGCCCGCTCACCCTGCTGGTCCCACTGCTGCTTGCTGTACATCACCATATCGGTGGCTTCAGCATAGTAGAAGGGGAGGTCGGGACAGGGAACGTTGCATCGCATTATGATTTCGTGGGCGCTGATGACCTCGACGTCCTCGACCTGGCACATGCCTACCTTGTAACCGGAACTGGGGTCGTCTTCCCGGCCCTCATAGGTTGGGTTGCACCAGATGTCGTGGCTATGCTCCACGTCCGCAGCCGTGAAGATTCCGAAGTCGTCGCCGTTCTTGTTGTTCCACGGCACACCCTCAGCCAGCTGTATGCTCCAGGACATGGAGTCCTCGGCCAAGGTGGCCTCGGTGGCCAGCCAGCCGCTCATGGTATTCGTAACCGGGCTGATCTCAAAGAGCCATTCCTGCATGGGGTCCTGCTTGATCAGCTGGTCGGCGCTGCCGCGGATCCAGGTGCGGAAGTAGTCGCGGGTAGGCGAAATAAGCCCCATTATGAGCCTATCCACCTTGGCTTCGCCTTCCTGCCGCCCTGCCGGCTGCTCCCGGATCAGTTTGACCACAATCACCTCTGGCGCGGCCGTATCCGAAGCAGCAGCGGCCTCGGTAGGTTCAGCGGGGGGATCAGTAGGCTCTGGCGCAGTTGTGGGTGCCGGAGCAGCGGTGGGATCAGGCGCGGTCGTTGCCTCCTCCGACGCACCGCAGGCCACGGCTACTACCAGCAGCAAAACTACAAGGATAGCGACGGGCCTCATCAGTAACTGGGTGAGGGACATAGGCGGGTTCCTCCTTCGGCGCACGACTTTGCCTGGCGCAGTTCCAGCCTGTATAGCAAAGTCGCCCAACATTAGTCAATAGGCCAGACGTCAGTCCAGGCACAAATGGCATCGTTTTGTTCCGCATGCTTGGGCCACCTGTGCGGCCCGCAGTCAGCGCTTTTGGAGGTCATTGCAGCGCCTGCCTTGATTCCTGACCTCCGTTAGTATTGGCGAACCAGAGCCCCATCCGAGATTTCTCCGGGGGACGGATGGATAGGGTCTCCATTCAGGCAAATGCCGCATGAGGGGGTCAAACGTGTGCATTTCCGCGCATTTCTGTGCAATTCCGTAACTCTCTGGCTGGGCGTTCGGCCCAACAGCGCCTCGGCTTCCGCCGGGGTGCCAGCCGAGGTAACAAGCCGAGATGGCGCACAGGCTCTTGCCCGCGATTCAGTCGAGGTAAGGCTCTGCACCGGGGTAGTTGGCCATGGATGCGCTCGATGCGTTGGAATCGCAGGCATTCCGGTCCACTGTATTCGATGGCAGAGATTTGTCATGAGGCTTGGCAAGGGGCTTCTGTCAGGAATCAAGGGAGGGTGTGAAGAGGAGAGACGGGGCGTTGATGTGGACATTCCGGAGTACTGGATTGTGGGCCCGGATTCCTTCTCATGCGGAGACATGCTCCGCTGGGACTTAATGCAAGTCGACAACGGCACACAAGCCCGCAAATCACATCATTTCCAATGCTACCTGAATCAATCAACGTCTTTATGGCACTATCGAAGTTGCCGGGCGCAATGGCGACGTTTTTCGTAACTTATGCTCCGATTTATTCTGGCTTTTCTTGACACTCATTGACCGCAAATGTAGAGTGCGTTCATAGCTTTCAATACTTTGCACGGGTTGCAATACGAGTCGGCAGTTCCACGAACTAGGAGGTAGTCCCGTTGGCGTTACCTCGGATTGAATCCCTGCCCGGATATGCGGCTGGGATCACCCCGGCCCCACTGCGGAAACTGTTCGGTATATGGTCCGTGCTTCGCCGGTATCCGGTCATCCCAATAACCATCGTTATGGTGGTGATGATCATTCCGGCAGTTTTCGCCCCGCTGATTGCGCCACACCCTCCCAAGGTGGGGGACCTGAAGGAAGCCCGCCTGGCGCCTCCTTTCTGGATCGGCGACAAAGTGCAGTCGCTAAGGGCGGAGACTGCGATTGACCGTTCTGATCTGTCGCATCAAATCACCGTTGTCGATGCGCAGGCACTGGTAAACGAAGGGAATGCCCGCATCGAGGGCGGTGGAACCTCTGTATCTCCAGGCGACCGGATCATCAAGCTGAAGACCGTGGTGGAGGAAACCCCTCCGGGTGGCGGCACTCAATACGAAGTAGCCCTAAAGGACGCAGGGGACTTAGTCACACGCGGCAAGTTACGCATCGTTGGGGTCGAAACCGTCAAAGAAAGCAGTCAGATGACGTTGGCCGTAGGCCAGCAGGTTGAGGAGGTAATCTCGCGCGGCGGATCCCTCAACCATATTCTCGGCACCGACAAGGTCGGAAGGGACATCCTGAGCCGGATCATTTACGGCTCTCGGATTTCGATAGTGGTCTCGGGCATCGCCATCTTTATTGCCGGAACCATCGGCACGGTCCTGGGAATCGGGGCCGGGTTCTTCGGCAGATGGCTGGACGCTTTGATCATGAGGGCAGTGGATGTTTCCCTGTCCATACCAATCATCCTGCTGGCACTGGCACTGGTTGCGGCACTGGGAGCCAGCTTTGCCACGGTGATCACGGTGCTGGTGCTGCTGCTGTGGGCACACTACGCTCGCATGGCCCGAGGAGTCAGCCTGTCGATTCGCTCGGCTGACTACATATCCCGAGCCAGGGTTGCCGGTTCATCCAACGCGCGGATCATGCTGCGGCACGTATTCCCCAACGTGTTCAACAGCCTGGTGGTGCTGGCGACGCTACAGGTGGGGTTTGTCATCGTAATCGAATCGACTCTCAGCTTCCTGGGAGCCGGCATACCGAAGCCCAACCCGGCATGGGGCCTCATGGTTGCCGACGGACGCGATCTGATAGCAGCATCCTCGGGATGGTGGGTGTCCTTCTTCCCCGGCCTAACTATCATGCTGGTGGTGCTTTCCATGAACCTCATGGGAGACTGGCTGCGGGACAGGCTGGACCCGAAACTGAGGCAGGTGTAGGAGAGTACCGCATATGGCAGGCGACGTGGTCCTGGATGTTAAAGACCTCCACACCTATTTCTTCAACCGGCGAGGCGTCACAAAGGCCGTGGACGGCGTCAGCTTCACCCTCCGCGAGGGTGAGACCCTTGGCATCGTGGGCGAGTCCGGGTGCGGAAAGACCATGACGGCCCGCTCGCTGTTGCGCATTATTCCAAAGCCGGCCGCAAGGATTGTATCCGGTGAGGTCATTCTCGACGGCGAAGACCTTGTGAGTTTGTCTGACGAGGAGATGAGGCAGGTCCGGGGTAGCAAGATAGCCATGATCTTCCAAGACCCCCAGACCTCGCTGAACCCGGTCTTCACCATTGGCAACCAAGTGGTCGAGGCCCTGGGCACACACCAGAAGGGACGCAACAGGAATCTCGCCGAGAGGGCCGTCGACGCCCTGAGGAGCGTGCGGGTAGCCGCACCGGAACGCCGGATGTTCGACTATCCTCACCAGATGAGCGGAGGAATGAAGCAGCGCGTGCTGGGCGCCATAGCCATTTCCAGCACACCCAAGGTAATCATCGCCGATGAGCCGACCACCGCCTTGGACGCGACCATTCAACTCCAGTACCTTCGATTGCTGAAGGACATCCAGGCTGAGACCGGAATGGCGATTATCTTCATCACCCACGACTTTGGCATCGTGGCGAGGATGTGCGATTCGGTGGCGGTGATGTACGCAGGACGAGTGGTGGAACGGGGGGACGTGCGGCAGCTGTTCAACAACCCCAGCCACCCGTACACTCAGGCCCTGATGGCATCAGTTCCACAGATGGAACGCACAGACAGGCTCTTCGCCATTGATGGGCAGCCCCCGGCCCTCTACGCCCTGCCAGACGGTTGCCGATTTGCCGACCGATGCAGCCACGCCCGCGACATTTGCATCCGGGAATATCCGAGAGAGGGACGGGCCGGGGAGGCCCATACTTCCTATTGCTGGATGCTGCATCAAGAATGGCAACAAGCATCCCCCGTGGCATCCCCGGTGGGCGTCGTGGCGGACTAGGACCGGCGCAGCCTCCGCAGCACACTGCCGCCGACCGCGGCACAGAGACCGCCAATGGCGGCGCCCACCAAGGCACCTGCGGCAGTGCTCATTACGATGAAGCCGAGTACCTCAGAAGCGTCTATGTTATAGGTGTCGCCGGTCAGGATCAGTATCAGCAGCACCCCCGGCACCAGACCGACTACCACCCCGACGACGGCACCTGGAAACACGCCGATGCTAAAAGTGTCGGCCCACAACCGAAATGCCCGACTGGACTGCGCTTTTTTCAGGTATTCCATATCATTTATCAAGGGCGCAGAATTCAGGGCCCTTTGATTCCGTTCGAATTGCCATGCCAGTTGCCGGAATTTCGCGTCTATCGAATTACGTACATCTTGCCGTCCTGGGTGTGGGCGAAGACCCTTCCTTCAGCATAACCCAGCGGCCCGGCCACGGGAGATTCCAGAGAGACCTTCCACAGTTCCTCCTGGCTGTAGCGATCTATCGCCCGGATGGCGCCGTTTTCCTGGGCAACCAGCAACACGTTCCCCGCTGCGATGACAGGGGCTGCAATGGGTTCGCCCAAGGATAGCTGCCACAGAATGTCTCCGTTCTCCGGGTCCAGGGCCACCACTTCGCCTGCACCGGTCCCCAGGTACAAGGCCTCCCCGGTGACAGCGGGTGTATGCAGGAAAGCTCCCACGTCGTTCCCCGGTTGCAGACGCCATAGCAACCCGGAATGTTCAGCCGGGGAGGGCAGAGGAAACCCCCACACCCATAGCTGGGCCCAAATGAGTTCGGACGCATACCGCCCTGGCAGTTCGCGAATATTGGAATCGAAGGCCAAGAGGCTGCCGTCCAACAGCAGGTAGACGCGTCCGTCGGCCACAGTGGGGGGACTAACTAGCGCCGAATTAGTGCGGATTCGGGCACGCTTGTCGCCTGTGCCGGAATGCCGTATGAAGAGGATTCCCGCACTGGAGGCGGCAAACATTTTCCCGTCGTGTACGGCCACAGGGGCGACCGCGGCGCTCTTCAGCCCCACCTTCCACAACTGATCCCCGGACGAGGCGTCAATGGCGTGGACATCGCCCCCCCGCGAGCCCGCGTAGACGATGCCGTCCTGGACCGCAACGGTTCCCGGAAAGGGTGAATCACCCACATATTCCCAGAGCCTTCGACCGGAGCGGGCATCAAGGGCTATCACGCGCTTGTTCAGCGTTCCCAGGAACAACGATCCGTCCGCCAAGGCAGGGACGCCATGGGCAGGGCCGCTAACCGGCTGTTCCCATATCTGCTGCCCGGTGTCCGCATCGATGGCCAGCATCCTCGACTGCCCACCGATGTAGACGACGCCATCAGCCGCCACCGGCGATGAGCGGATTCCCGTGTCCACTTCTATTGCGCGTTCGACAATACCTTCGGGGACGAATGTGAACGGGGAGAAGTTGGTACCCTGGGGGCTGCCCCCACGCATCGCCCACTGACCGGGTCCCGATTCGGCCGATGCCACGCCGGAGGGCTGGCTGAAAAGCAGTGTCCACAGGTTTGGAATGAATGGATAGTTGTTCCAAACCGCGACCAGCACCACCACGGCCACTACAGCCCATAACAGCCGTCGCCGTCGCAGCAGGGTGCGCCAACCTATGCGTTCGCTCGGGCCGTCACCGGGTCTGGCCCATTGCGGGACAGAGAATCTGGATTCCCTTTCGTTGGAGTTGTCGGAGTTGTTCGTCGTTCCCGGGCCTCCGGCCATCGGCCACCGCCTGAAAAGCTGGCTACATTCTAACCCATAGGAGCGGAGCGGCGGTGCGCCTGACGACTCAGGTCAGCATAATACTGCAAGGATATGCGACTGCGCGCAGCTGAACCGAGGGGAATCGGACTGGAGAATCGGCAAGCGCTATGTTCCCCTGCAGCGGCCGATCAACCCTCAGTCCGGATTGCTGGCACTTGAGACCTGCTTGGCCTCATATCCCCGCGGGGTGATGATGAAGCCCTTATGGACGTAAGTCGTGGAGTTGCCGATAACGACAGTGGTGAACATGTCCACGAGTTCGAGGCAAGACTCCAACTCCCCGAGATTGGTGACGGATACCTGCTGGGTCGGCCTATATGCGTCCTTGACGAGACCAACCGGGGTATCCGCAGGACGGTGCTCCAGCAGGATTCGCCTTGCCTCAGGGAGTTGCCATGTGCGGCGCTGGCTCCGAGGATTGTAGAGCGTGACGACGAAGTCCCCAAAGGCGGCTGCTTCCAGCCGGCGGCTTATGGCCTCCCATGGAGTGAGGAGGTTGCTGAGGCTGATGGCGCAGAAGTCCTGCATCAGGGGGGAACCCAGCAACGATGCAGCGGACTGCAGGGCGGAAATGCCGGGAACAACTTCCACTGCCGGGGACTCGCCGTCCCATCCGCGGTCGGTCAGTACCCGGAAAACCGGGCCTGCCATGCCGTATATGCCCGCATCCCCGGAGGAAACGACCGCCACCGACCTGCCCTGGTAGGCCAAGTCAACGGCGCGTGCGGCCCGTTCCATTTCCTGGCCTAGGTCCATGGACACCAGTTCTTTACCGGCGGCAAGGTCAGAAACCTGGTCGATGTAGCCCCTGTACCCCACAATAACGTCGCCGTTTGTAAGAGCTCTCAGGGCGGCCGGGGTCTGCAGGTCCGTGTCTCCCGGACCGAGTCCGATCAAGAGGAGCTTGCCATCAGCAGAATTGGACATCGCGTGTTTCACCGATCCGTAATGCTTGCTATTTGACTTTGGCCAAGGCGCCCTGAGCGTATTCTCTGCGTGCAACCGCAATGGTCGCCCGGCTTGCGGTCTGCTTGGACACCAACAACCTGGATGCCCCTGACGCCAGAAGGGCGGCTGGTTCGGCGACGCCCCAGACGCCCACCAGACGCCGTGCGTTGGACGATGGGTGAAGCTCCCCCGGGCGGGAGACGTCATCCGGCACTGGGGACGCGCATGAGACTTCAGCCGGGTTGGTGTTGCCTGCTAAATCAATATTGCTGTCGTACACGCTATTCAATACGTCGCCTTCGTAACATGAGAACGACGCTGAGTACTTTTCGGCCAGTGCCAGCAGACCCAGTTCATCCCGTTTCAGGGTTGCTGTCGCCAGACATTCCAGGCTGCTCAGGGAGAGATTGTTCGCTTCGAAAGTATCGACGAGCAGGCGTTCCAGTTCTTCAACTGGGACACCACGCCGACAGCCCATCCCGACCACCAGACTGCGGGGCCGGTAGAGTACCACGTGGGTACCGCGCAGGGCGTCCTGCAACGTCGTCCCAACGCTGATATACGGGTCTCGTTCATCGGTTATGACCAGAGCGGCGGCGCATCCTGAACCGCTAAGAGCATCCAAGGTATCGTAGCGCCTGATGTTGGGCGACAAGGGCAAACTCGCCGGCCACCAGTTGGGTTCGCCGGCGGTCTGAAAGATCCCCACTGCCTCCCGATTCACCACCGCAGCGCTTGCCCTGGTTATAACCGCTGACTCTGCCTCGATCGTCCAGCCGAACTCGCGACCCAACAGGTCAACGGCAATGGTCTGGGTTGCGTGTGACCCGGAGGTGATTACCGCCTCCGCTCCCAATACGGCGGCCACCCTCTCAGCAAGAGAATCCGCGCCCCCAAGGTGTCCCGAGACCACGCTGATGGCGAACCGCCCGCCGTCATCGACGCATACAAGCGCTGGGTCGGTGCGCTTGTCATTCAGCATGGGTGCCACCAGCCTGACGGCGGCGCCAACGGGAAGAAAGAGCACCACCGCCTCGAACTCCTCCCAAACCTGCCGTAGCAGGGGACGCAGGGGCAGATCGAATGCCCTTGCCTGGAACGTCTCTTCCTCGGTACAGGGGTCCGAAAATCGGCGGTCGATGTAGAGGGTGGTTTCAGGACCCAGACCTGCGGCAACGCGTCGAGCCAGGACCGCCCCATGCATGGACAGTGCGACCAAGGCGATGCTTAGCATTGCCGGTCACCCCACAGCGGCGTCGGCCGCCGCGTCCTCGCTTTCGCTGGCGTGCCGGAAGAGGTGCGTGTAGTCCTGGGAATACAGGTGGGAAGAAGCGGACTTCTGCTGGTCGACGTACTCAGGAGACGTCAGGTTGGGGTTCATGGCCTCACCGACCATTACGAGAGCCTGCCGGTTAATCTTGGCATCACGGACCTTTCGGGCGATGTCGGACAGGGTTCCCCGAATCACCTGCTCCTCCGGCCAACCGACCCGGTACACCACGGCAACCGGGGTTTCCGGCGAATATCCTGCCCCGGTCAACTCGCGGACGATCTTGGTCATGCGGGTAATGCTGAGGAATATGGCGAGCGTGCAGCCGTGAGCGGCCAAGTCCTGCAGTTGTTCCTTGGGAGGCATGGCAACCCGGCCCTCGGCCCGTGTCATGATGATGGTCTGAGACACCTCGGGCACAGTGAGCTCGGTCTTGAGCACTGCCGCGGCAGCAAAAGCAGCACTCACGCCGGGTATGATTTCGTACTCGACCTTTTCGCGCTCCAGGATTCGCATCTGCTCAAGTATGGCTCCATAGACCGCCGGATCCCCGCTCTGGACGCGGGCAACTGTCTTCCCTGATGCAACCGCCTTGAGCATGATTTCCATAATTTCAGGAAGCGCCATGCTCTTGCTGCCATGCACCTCGGTGCTGGAAGACGCGAAATCCGCAATCTCCGACGGCACCAGAGAATCGGCATACACCACGACGTCCGCTTCGCCAATGATGCGCCTGGCCTTTACGGTGATGAGTTCCGGGTCGCCCGGCCCGCTACCCACGAAGTAGACTTTGCCCTGTTTTTCACTCACGTGATTTCACTTCCTTATTATCAAGAGGGAAAAATAGTCCAACTTCTCCCCGGCGAGTTTTCCCAAGTCCCTCACCACCTCTTCACGGTCGGTGCTAGCCCTTTTCACGTAAACGCTCTTGCCCGCCAACCCCAAGTTGTCCAGCTCGGACATCGCCTTTAGCAGGGTGCGGTTGACCTTCATCAGAACCACGGTGTCGTGGGTCGCGATTGCATCCCGGAGGCCGTCTATGCCGTAGGCGGCGGGCAGGACAGCGAGGCTCTGCCCGTGAGTCACCAGGGGCGTTGCGGCAGACGCGGCTGCGGCTGTGACCGACGTGACCCCAGGTACTATTTCGACGGGCAGATCCGGATGTTTGATCCGTATGCTTTCCAGGACATACGAGAATGTACCGAACAGCATGGGGTCGCCCTCGGTGATGAAAGCGGCGTCCTGGCCTTGTCGCAGCCGTTCGGCGAGGGTGTCAGCTGCGAGGCGCCAGACATCCCCGGCTTTCTTCTCACTATTCGTGGGGAACCGGAACCGCATTATCTCCTGGCTTTCCAGGTCCAGGAACTGCTGAACGATGTTGAGCGCATAGCTCTCTTCGCTGGTTTCGGCCTGTGGCACGCAAACAAGAGAAACCGACTGCAGGATCCGTTGGGCCTTCAGCGTCAAGAGTTCCGGGTCTCCGGGACCAACCCCGACACCATACAGGCGGCCTAATCCCTGCCCACTGGCGGGGCCGGTCACTCTCCAGCCTCCGGCTTTTTCGCGGAAACTATGAACACCGGATTCAGGGCTTCCAGACGCACAGCACCGTCGGGCATTTCCTTGCCCCGCGAGGCGCTTACCGAGGTGAGCTCGACGTCCATGCCCTTGTTTTTCAGCCCCTGGTAGGTCTCCAGAGTACGCTCCAACGCGGCCAGGTTGACCACGATACGGCCCCCTGGATTCAGACGCCGCACCGACTCATCGAGAATCCGGGACAGGTTTCCGCCGCTGCCACCGACAAATACCGAGTCTGGAGACGGCAGAGATTCCAGCACGTCCGGTGCCTCCCCATGGATTACGTGCACGTTGGGACCGCCAAACATCGCAACGTTATGTCGCAGCAGGTCCAGGCTGTCGCCATCGCGTTCGATGGCGAATATGGCCCCACTGTTGGCGATGAGCGCGGCCTCGACGGAAATAGAGCCAGTGCCAGCACCGATGTCCCAAACTGTGCTGTCTCCGCGGACGCCAAGGAGGTACAAGCTTACCGCGCGGACTTCCCGCTTGGTAATCTGACCTCGCAGCGGGCGGCGCTGCTCAAAGGAATCGTCGGACAGCCCCAGCGAACGCGCCATGGCTGCCGCATCCTGGCTAACCACCGGAGCCTGCGGGCGCGCCCACCACCATAGGAATACCGTCGGGAGAGGTGGATGCCCAGCCAAGAAGGGTACCGTCGAAGTCGAAACACATCGAATCCACTATCACCGAGTCGGCGTCGTCTCCGAGAAGCTTCTGGCTTTCGTCGCATACCATCTGGCAGATAACAGGTATGACCTGCATCAGCCCGTTGGCCTGGGCAATCTCCTGGAAGTGCCGAGCGCTGCTGGCGCCCTGAATCTCTTCCTGGACCTCCGGAGTGGCGCCACACCGGGCCGCCAACTGGGCAAGAAAAGCGGTGTCCACCTGGTTGCCTGCGACGTGCGTGACGAAATGCCCCACAGCCATCTTCGAGAATTTGCCTATCATCCCCACGTGGGTAGCACGGCCGATTTTGCGCATGACGCAACGCTTCAGCGAGGGACCGCTGAAGATACCTGCTTCGATATAGGCCATGTCCGGCAGATCCAGGAGTTGACGAGAGTATTCCTCGCTCCTTGTGCCTGTTGACAGCACGACGTGGGGCAGGCCGTTGGCGGCCGCGACGTCCACCGCCAGGTGCACGCTGGCGCGCCAAGCCGCCGTGGAAAAGGGCTGGACGACTCCGGTACTGCCCAGTATGGAAATGCCTCCCAGTACACCCAGCCGGGCGTTGGTGGTCTTTTCGGCAATTTCCTCGCCATTGGTCACAGCCACCTGCGCCACAAATCCGGCGTCCGGCTCGAGGCCAGCGGCAACGGCGGCCTCGCTGACCGACTCCGCCATCATCCGCCTGGGAACGCGGGTTACGGCGGGCTCTCCCACCTCTATTCCAGTACCGGGCCGGGTCACTGTTCCGACCCCGGGTCCGCCGGTTATTTTGAGGCCCGACAGGTCTGGATTGCGGGATACGGTGACACAGATTTCGGCGCCGTGGGTGGCGTCGGGGTCATCACCCCCATCCTTTATCACGGAGCACAATACCCGCTGTTCATCTAGCCGTTCAGATCGGTGGATTTGCAAGGTGGCATCCTGGCCCACCGGCAACCGGATAGTTACCTGGTCCACCTCCCGGCCAATGAGTAGCATCAGCGCAGCTGCCTTGGCTGCTGCGGCAGCGCACGAACCGGTGGTGTAGCCGGTGCGCATACCCTGCGGGTTACGAACCGTCGGACGGCTGTAATCGCTTTCCGTGGATTCTATTTCGTCGGGTTGTTCCGCCATATCATTTTCTTGACGTGCAAACGTCCTGCATGCTGACGTACGAATCGAGGATGCCTGTTACTTCACTTGCTCCAGGCTTCGCGTATCCGGTCTGCGGCCACCGACACCACCCGGCTGTCGACCCCCAATGGTGGCGACACGTGTATGGGTATGTCCTGGTATCGTTCCCTGGCAGCTGCAACTCCACCCAGCACGTTCCTCTTCAGAATCATGCCGGGGAAGAACAGGTATGGCACACAGAGCAGCGCCGACACCTTGCGGTTTGCCACGAGATTGGCAAAGGCCGATTCCATGGTGGGGTCGCCGTAATGCGACTGTGCCACATCGACCGCGTATCCGTCACCAAGCTGCCGCTCGGCCATCTGCCCCAGATCCTTCAGCCACAGGCAATCGTCGTACTGCGTCTTGGTGCCGGCTTTTACCACCAATACACCCACAGGCCCGTCGTTGCCGGGCTTCAGGCCGGGCGTACCGTCAAGGTCGCGGACGCGTTCGACCACAAGGTCCGCGAGCCTGGAGTCGGCCCCCAGTCCCTCGGCCAAGCGAACATCCACCTGCGGCGACCGCGCCTTAACGTCGTCCAAGACCTCTTCCAACTCGTCAGTGGCATGTTTGCCGTGTCCCAGGAGGTACGGCATTATGACCACTTCGCTCAAACCCCGGCCTGCCAGCATTTCAACCGCATCGACCGGGAACGGCTCGATGAACTCCAGGCATGACACCAGCACGTCGGCTTCGGATTCGCCCAGATCAGACTGCAGCAGTGCTGAGGTATCCGCAAGACCCACGGGGGTGCTGGGGCAATGCCGGCACCAATCGGGCCAGTTGCCATCCTGGGCGGCCCATGCGCAGGAGCATTCGTCCCGGCTGGCGCCCCGACGGCTGCCATGGCACAGCATCACGACGCCGCGGCGTCCGTTGGCGTTCAATTGTCCTGCATCCCTGGAATATTCAGGCGAGACCAATTCTGTACCTATTCAGCTTTCAGAAGATCAAGGAGGGCGTTTACAGTTGCCGCAGCAGCAGAGCTGCCGCCGCGACGTCCCAGAATTGTGATATATGGAATGTTGCGCTTTACCAGCTCGTCCTTGGACTCCGCACAAGCGACAAATCCCACCCGGCATTCCGATTACCAGCGCTGGATTCACTTCTCCGGCGTCTATCAGGTCCAGCAGGGCCAGTAGTGCCGTTGGGGCGTTGCCAATGGCGCATACCGAGCCGGAGATACTGGGAGCCAGTTCCCTTATCGCTGCCACTGAACGGGTAGTACCGTCCCTCCGGGCTCGCTCGGCCACCTCTGGGAGGTCGATGGCGCAAGTGGTGGCCACTCCTGCTCCCCTGAGCAAGGCCTTGGAGATGCCCATCTCCACCATTCTCACATCGGTTACGATCGTGGATGCCGCCTTCAGGGCGTTCAAGCCAGCCTCGACGGCCCCAGGACTCAACCTGACCGAGGGGGCGATGTCCCCGTCGCCTTCAGCGCGAACGATCCGGCACAGCACGTAGTGTTCCCTGGGGGACAGCTGCAGTCCCGAAGGCAAACAAGCCTGAACCATCTTCAGGCTTTCGCGGTCGATTTCCTCAGGGGTAAGTGCGTATTTTTCGACCAGAGTCATTGCTTCTGAACCATATGAGAGGCAACTGCGAGATGATGGAAATACCATGGCGAAAAAAAGCCCTGGCCTAACGAGCCAGGGTTTCGGGGGAAACCGGCGAACGGTTTTCACCGGGGAGGTGGGAATTCCGCCTCGCCGAACCATGCCGGAACCCGCTCCGTTGGCGCAGATCAGGTCTCGGTTCCTAAGGCAGGTCTCCTGACTCGTGGACCTCATTGGCCCGGCGCCTTCCCGCCCTGCAACATGGGCAGTGGCAAATTCGCCGGTCAACTCCTCACTAACAGTGGCGCAACCGTGACGGAATCACACCGTCTTCCCTATTAAATCCCAATGATACCTTGAGAGCAGATTCAATTGTTAAGGCGGAGCCGGAACGAAGGTGCCAGAGCACTGTTCGCCACTCTACAACAGAGGCCATTTGGTGTCAAACCGGTCTGCCTCAGAGCAATCGCGTCTTAAACGCCGAAGGCCCCGTAGGTCGTCCTTCCCGCGCAGGCGGGAATCCAAACCCCCGTCTACCCTCGCACCCGGAACCGAAGGAGGCACTGCCACTCCCGTCTCCACCGCCATTCAGACCAATTTTGTGTGCTGAGAAACAAGACGCGATTGCCCTGGGTCTGCCTCGGAATCGTGTTGGGGTGTTTTGATGACATTTGGCGCTTGCCAAGCCTCGTGGCTTTCCTCTAACATATGTTCTATGTTTGAACAGTGTGGGAAGCACAACTCCCGTGCCATCTCGGCGGGTATGCCTTGATCCGCGAACAGCCGGAAATCGCAAAAATGGTAGGAAATGAGCGGAATTGAGCGGGAAAAACGAAAAATCTCAGCCCTTTAGACCCGCAGAGCCAACCTCGCAATTGCAACGCACTGCGCAGCTGAATCAGGACGAGATTGCCCCGTGCCCTTGGCCTACCTAACCACCTAGATCAGAGAAGTCACGCATCTTGCCGGGTCGGACTCTGAAAGAACGGGCGGACGGTGGCCGGAGTGGACATAGTCGGCGATCAACTTTGCCTGCCATTGGGCCTCGACCGAAGCCGGACGACGCCAGCCCGCCGACGATGAACAGGTTCTCCTTCTGCGGAATCCTGCCGATAAGCGGCCTGCCATCCAGGGGAAAAGGCATCAGGCCCGCCCATGTTCTACTGATGGAGAGCCCTCGCAGGAACGGAAGGATTTCGGAGGCGTGTCCGAAGTTCACCTCTATTCCGTCGGGCTCAACCGATTTGACGTATCCGACCACCTGCCTGTCGCCGCCAAAAATGATCTCGCCGTCCCTTGTCTGCCGTCCATACAGGTGTCTCGTCATCCTGCGATGGCCGTCGTGGGTGAGTTCGGGTGGGGTGTCGGAGTTGTTGCCTGGACTGCCGCTCCACTGCAGTGGTGATTCCGCCGCCGATATTGAGTGAAACACCCGGGGAGGAAGCGGCTCGGTTGCCCACATCTGTCCTCGTACCGGGACGATAGGAATCTCAATGCCCAACATCTGACCCAGTTGCTGACTCCAGGCCCCTGCCGCGAGCACGATTTGCCGGGCCGTATGAACCTCGCCCTTGCACTCGACTTGCCAAGTACCGTCGGCCGAAGAACTGATCCCTGTGACTTCTCGCCCGGTCAGCACGTTCGTGCCGAGATGCCGGGCTGCATCGGCAAACCCCTGGGTGGCCTTAACCGGGTCTGCCTGGGCCCTGAGAGTATAATGCACCGCGCCCTTCAGTTCAGGGTTCAGCCCCGGCTCAATGCTTCTAGCCTGGTCCATGCCCAGCAATTCCACCGTATGGCCGCGAGACTTGAGGGACAGTACGTTGTCACGGGAGTAATCGTATTGCTCAACGGTTTGGATAGCCTGGAGGGCCCCGGACTGCCGGAACTCTATATCGTAGCCCTGGTCGAGCTGCAGGCTCCTGAATATCTGGAGGCTCCCCATGGTCAGGTACGACTCCAGGTTGGGAAGGTGTCCCCAGCCATAGGCGCCGATGCCACCAGCGTTTACGCCAGAGGCCTCAGAGGCGATTTCACTCCGCTCCAGCAAAGTGACCCTGCGCCCGTGCTGCGCCAGATGATAGGCAGCGGACGCTCCGGCTATACCGCCGCCAACTACAATCACTTCCGACTCGGCCATCAGTGTCCTCCCAAAGTCGAGACACTATACGCCGGACCTGCAATCGGATTCAACGGAGGTCCCGGCACGAGACGATCGGCCGTGATACACCGATTTGATGAGAGAGCCGATTGGTGCGTTAGACAACCATCATTTGCGCAGCGATATGCAGGGCCCTACAAGGTAATTGCCAACGCACAACCGCCGCGAACGCACAATGTTGCTCTAACCCGGCGGTCAAGTTGCTTGGTGAACGGGCAAACGCGCACATCAGGTCAATGAGCACTGGGGACAATTCCACCACCTTGGTCAATTCGAATTGTAAGTTGTCGGATCGTATAGAACCCCGCCGCTGTTAATCCAGGGCCCGTTGCGGCTGTTGGTGTCGCCGGAGTTGAGCCAAACGTACGCCGCCCTGATCCTGAAGTTGTAGCTACTCCCGTCGACCGGAGCGGCACCCTGGCAATACCGGCCGTACACCAGCGTAAGTGGGGCCGGATCCAAGTCCTCGTTGTACCCGTGCATGTCCCGGTAACGCGACTGCGAGCACCACAGGGCGTCGGGATCACCGACCAGCTTATATTCCACATCGTAGCGGAACTGCGGCACCGTGTTGCCGTCGCCGTCCCGGATCGGCACGCGGTTATTGTTACGTACCGGTCGGAAGTCGGGATTGTTGGGATAGTATGGATTCGGCCGCTTCCAACTCAGGTCGAACCCGCCGCTGGGCCTCACCTGAACGGCAAAATCGGTGGGGGCACCCGGTGCGCCGGACATCACGAAGTACTCGTCCGATGGCTCGCTTTCGCCGAGGAGGTTCCTGGCCACCACACGCACATAGTAACGTCCGTGGCCGGCCATGTTCTTAAGACTACGCGAACCGACCTCCGGGTCCTCCACCACAACTTCATCGCGGGCCCTGTAAGAGCCGCCGGTGCGCCACTGCACCAGGTATTCGTCGGCCGGAGTGCCGGTCGAAGGTGAGTCCCAAGACACCAGAAGGGACTCCTTGCCGCCAACCGCCTCGATGCCGGTGGGGACATCCGGGACGCTTCCGCTGGGGTTGTAGGACACCCCTCCGCTGGACCGCCAGGGCCCGTTTCGTACGTTGGTGTCCCCGGAGTTCAACCATACGTAGGCCGCCCTGATCCTGAAGTTGTAACGTTCGCCAACAATGGGCTCAGCATCTTGGCAGAACCCGGTGACGGTGAGTTTGAGATCGGCCGGGTCCAGCGATTCGTTGTAGCCGTGCATGTCCTTGTAACGCGACTGCGAGCACCATCCTCCGGACTGTCCGTCCACCAGCTTGTATTCCACGTCGTAGCGGAACTGGGGCACGGTGTTGCCATCGCCGTCCCGGATCGGCACGCGGTTGCTGGTACGCACTGGACGAAAATCGGAAACGTTCGGATAGTACGGATCGGGGCGGTCCCAAGTCAGCGCGAACCCGCCGCCCGGCCTCACCTGCACGTCAAAATCCGTGGGGGCACCGGGTGCGCCCGACATCACGAAGTACTCGTCCGATGGCTCGCTTTCGCCGAGGAGGTTCCTGGCCACCACACGCACATAGTAACGTCCATGGCCGGCCATGTTCTTAAGACGACGCGAACCGGCCCCTGGATCCTCCACCACGGCTTCATCGCCCGACTCGTAAGAGGCACCGGTCCGCCACTGCACCAGGTAGTCGATGGCTGGAGTGCCGGTGGTGGGTGGGTCCCAAAACACCAGCAGCGACTCCTTGCCGCCCACCGCCTCGACACCGGTGGGGACATCGGGAACGCTACCGCTGGGGTTGTAGGACACCCCTCCGCTGTACCGCCAGGGCCCGTTTCGTACGTTAGTGTCGCCGGAGTTCAACCAAACGTAGGCCGCCCTGATCCTGAAGTTGTAATGTTCCCCAACCACAGGAACGGCATCATCGCAGAACCCGGTTACTGTCAGGGCAAGGTCGGCTGGATCCAATGATTCGTTATAGCCGTGCATATCCCTGTAACGGGACTGTGAACACCATCCCCCGGGTTGTCCGTCCGCCAGCTTGAATTCCACGTCATAGCGGAACTGCGGTACTTTGTTGCCATCGCCGTCCCGGATCGGCACGCGGTTGCTGGTACGCACCGGACGGAAATCCGGAATGTTGGGATAGTAGGGGTCGGGTCGATCCCAGGTCAGCTCGAAACCGCCTTCGGGTCGGACCATGGCGTGGAAGTCAGTAGGAGCGCCGGGCGCGCCGGACATGACGAAGTACTCGTCTGATGGCGTGCTCCAACCATGCGGGTTAGCTCCGCGGACCCGTACGTAATAGCGTCCGTGGCCAGCCATTTTCTTCAACAGATGCGACGTGGCTGCCGGGTCCTGCACGGTTGCACGATTGGCGGGTTCGTAGGTACCCCCAGTGCGCCACTCCACGATGTAACGATTGGCCGAGGTGCCGCTCTGGGGAGGCTCCCAATTGATCAGGAGGGAATTCTTTCCCCCCACCGCCCATACATTTAGAGGAGACAACGGCCGCCCTGCCGGAGCTGCCGTAAGCTCAGCGGACGGCGTACCGACAGTCCCGTCGGCGGCCACCGCGGACACGCGGATCACGTATGGAACTGCGTTGATAAGGTCGGTAATGGTCGCGGAACGGGTCGACGCGCCGGACACCTCCAGGCGACGAGACGCGTCGTAGGCTTCGTCGCCCGATTTCCATTCGACCACGTAGCCGGTCAACTCAATCTCGTGGTTTTGCGGCTCGCGCCACGACACCTGGATCTCCTCGTCGTCCGGGGAGGCGCTGACGGAACGCGGAGCCGTCGGCTTTCCCGGAACGGCGGCAAGCTCCACGGACCGGCTGTGTCCGTCGTTGTCCACGACCGTATCAGTCGAATTGCTGTTCACGGCTGCGATGCGTACGAAATACTCGGTCCCGTCGGTTAGTCCCTCGATGGTGTGAGTGAGGTCCGCGGTTTCCGACACCAAGGCCTGTTGGTCAGCACTGTAAGATTGACCAGCAGTGCGCCACTGCACGATGTAGTGGGTTACCGCGGGGGACGTTTCGTAGAGATGGGCGTCCCACGACATTTTCAAGGAACCATTGCCAATCGTCAGGCCGGCGTCCTGGGGTTTGCGCCAGTGGCAGCCGCCGTCCTGCCACGGGTTGCCATGGGACGGGCCCGAGGATCCTATTGCCCAGTTGGCTTCGCGCAGTGAGCAGAACCCTCCGAACATGTTGCGCATCAGGTAGGCGGCGGTGCGCTTGCCGCTGGCGACCCTGAGATCTGCCCAGATGGCGTCCAGATCCATCGTTTCGTCGTCGCGGCCGTAGTGATCTTGAAACCAGGCGGGAATTTCCCCGCGGGCAACGCTGCCGGCCACGGACACGCTTTCCGTGTCGGGCTTGCCGTTTCTGGCAATCTCGCGACAATTCCCGAGGTATCCAACTGACGTGGTGGCTACCCGGTGCGTGTAATAGCCCAACACGTCGGGGTAGATTTCGCCGACCGGGCAATCCCCTTTGACCCGATGGTTGAAATACAGCCATCCGACGCCAACCACTTCCGGTGCGTCGGGCACACGAGGGTCCAGGGTGAAGTGATGAGCCAGTTCGTGCAGCACCACCACCCTTGAGTGGTAACCCCCAACAGTGAAACCGAGGCGTAAGCCGCGGTTCACGCCCCGGAACCCCTGCACGCCTCCGATGGAATACACATAAAAGCCCGGGTTTTTATAATCACCCACCCGCACTTGGAGTGGATGATCGCTCCATGCTGTGCGCACCCAGGGATGGTCATCCTCGTACTCTTTGACGAAATCGTCCTCGATATGGGTCTTGGCCGCCTCGTTCAGGGAATTGTTGGACCTCGTTGGGTTGGCGCTCCTAGTGGTATCGGAGGCAGTGGGGATGGAGCCTTGTATGCCCACGAGGACGGAATAATACTGGTCGGTGGCGAGGGTCCAACCGGCTGCCGCGCCTGCGTCCTGGCCGTTGCCAACGACGAATCCCACCTGGTAGTACTCAGTGCTCGTGACGAAAACGTCGTTTTCAAACGCGACGAAATAGTCAGTCCCCGCTGCCAGATTGGCATTGGCGGGAGCGGAGAAGGTGTTGCGGTCGTCGTCGGCAAACGACGCTGGGTTGGTCAGTGTATACAGGATGTCATCTGGGTTGCCATTTGCATCGGACGTATAGATGCTGACCTTGGGGGCGTCGTTTGAACCAACGTCCTTCAGGTAAGCCACGACTGCTGAAAGCGTGTATCCGGCTTCGTTGTTGCCAGTGGTAAACCCCTGGGCCTGGAAGTACACGACGTCTTCAACAGGTCCAACCCTCTCCCAATTCTCCGGATGCGACGTCCGACCCAGGTTGCTGACCAAGGTGATCTTGGTGGTGACCTCTCCGTCGCCAGAATCAGGGTTAGCTTGGAGCGACAAGGCATCACCGGCGGCGGGATGCGCCCAAGCCTGGATGCCTGTTTCCGGCGAGCCGACCCACAGGGAGGCGACCAACGCCACTGCCGACACGATTGTGGTCACCAACGCAAGCCAAGCGACGCGGCGAGTTCGCAGGTGTGAAATCATGAACCGCATGGAATTTCTCCGTTAGCGTGCATCGCCGGGATGTAGTTTCGGTAGTTGTCGACCATCCCAAACCCTCAGTTTTACAGGGTCCGCCCCGGCCGGCCGCGGCCCTTCTTTCGACGGCTATCTTGTGCTGGGTATTGACCTCCAGTTCGAGTTGAAGCCAATTCTTATAACTCCAAGTGGTTGAGGCTGACCCGCCCCTTTCCGTCTTGAGCCAAAGCTGAACGGCCATGCGTACAGCCGTCCTAGAAGTCTGGCCGGAAAGCCATCGGCCGGGTTTTCGCTATGCCAAGCAGACGTATTACAGTCGTATATGGCACAATACTGCATATATTACGTTGCAACACGCTCTGTTTCACCGATAATCGACGGCAAGAAAACGACTGCTTGGGAAGAATCGGGGTTTCCGGCCAGATTTCTAGGCTGCAATCGCCGGCGCGCGCCCGACGACCAATGACCCGGCATCGCTGCGAGCCTCACATTGAGTCGGGTGGGGGTGTCTGGTACCAGGCCTCAAATCTTGGCTAACTTCTCTGGGTCGCATCCCATTCCGAGAAACCTAAATGCTTTGTCAATTCGGAGGCCGTGACACATGTGTCCAGTGATCAGCGGTCATTCCTTTGCTGCGCGCAGGTCCCAGGTAAGTCTGGTGAAGTCTCCGCCCTCGCCCATGATGTGAAGGTTTTCGGTCCCAGTGATGGATGTGCCGCCGGATGGCTTACGAGATCCAAATCGGTGAATTATTCGGCAGTACCGCCGGTGATGACGAGGTTGCCAACGGCATTCGGCACTTCACGCTTCTCAGTTGCTTTCCTGATTCGGCTTGATATGCCAATCGCAGTGAACCTGCTACCAGCGCCCTATAGCGATAACGTCACCGGATAACACCGAGTGGTCGCATACGGTCGCTGGCTTCCTTCAGCAGCCAACTGCTACGTAAAGATAACGGGTGAGTCTTCGCCAGTCTGTGCTCTTGCAAAATATGGACAGGCGAGCCTCAAAATGTCTGCAATTTACAGTGAATTGATAGTCGCGGGCGTTGTCTGGCAACAGCGCACAAAGGGGACCACTCTGGAATGTTGGTACGCAGGAACCACCATGTTGTCTTGATTTTCAAGACAGTCGCTTCACTCAAACAGGAGCCGTCGCGACGACAGATATCGAACGTCACCTAGCCGGCAAGTTCAACAACAATTGTGGCGCCGGCAACAATCCGCGTTTGGAGGCCGTTTCGACGTCACCGGAAGTTTGCCTTCCGGCAAGATAATTCCGAGGCAACAAAGGGGTGCCAAGTCGCCCGCGACAGTCAGAATTGAATTGCCCTTTCTCTGAGGAGGGAGAGGCAACGCGCAGATTAGAGGTGGGCGCACTGAATGGACGCTGCAGCAGTGCATCTCCAGTGTTTCCAATGCTCATTTCCGTCTCGATTTTGGTCTGCGTGTCGGCGCCGGGCATCAGACTGCGGCGTGTGCGGCCATTGTGCATGCGCACAAAACCGGTTTGGTATGCCCCGATTTAGAGACCTCAGATCGCTCCCTGCCCATACCGCGACCGATACAATCTCGGAGAAACTGGAGGAGTGTGGGATAGCACCTTTTGTGATATGTGCGTGAGGCAGTTCCGGTATTCGATGCCGCCCGGCACATGAGCCAAATCACATGGGCAAGGGACGCATCGTCCGTCGCCAGCTACTATCAACGCAACCCTATCTGATAACTCCCGCTGAGGCACTGCAAGCACCGTATCGCTCACTTTGAACTGGAAGGAAGGAAGAATCGCCTTGCACGCAGTCAATTCCGATTGCTCTCGCGGCAGCAAACTGCTTGCCTTTACTCAGACCGGTGTCCTCATCAATGTTCGAGGGCTATACGTTAGGGCCCTCGGCTCTTCACATCTGCTGCCAGACACCACCAATATATTCATCAGAAAGAGCCTAGGCAGTTACGCCCACGTGGTCGGGACGCCCCGGCAGAAAGTTCTCTATGTGCCGCCGCTGGGATGCGCTCGGTTCGTACCGCCGCAGCACTATTTCACCTCCACCACACATCTGCATCAGAATTACACTCTATCCAGGTACGACCAGCTGATACTCCGGGCTTTCACGCAGGTTGCGCTCAATTGTCGATTCACCCAGGAATGACAGGCTCGGCGGTAGCGACTTTGCGATCGTCCCGTCTACACGCGAACCCGACGTATCGGTATCCGTCACACTCGGCTATAATGTGGTCGCACGCTTGATTGGCGCACCAAGGTTTGACACAAGAACGGGCCGGCCCTTTCCCCCTCCCCTTTCCTTCTCTTCTTGTTCGCCCTCCCGCTGATTCACCTGCGTTATCAATCTAAATTAGGGAGTCCGTTCCTGTATGGCTCTTGCATATTCGTCCGCCCGCGCGCGTTCGCCCAAGCGCACCCCAGTCCGCACCACGCACCAGACCGTTTGCGATGACTGCAGAATGTCAACCACCCTTCCCTTCCGGCCAACCCAGGGGAAGCCGGTGTATTGCCGCTCTTGCTTTATGGCCCGGCGTCAGGGGGCTTCACCGGCGGCCAGCGCCGACTCGGTCCAAACCGTCCGTCCGCGTTCCGGAAGTAAGCCACCCGTTGAGAGCGCCCCGGTCGGCGAAACCACATTTTCCGGAATGTCCTTGGACGCCACTACCAAGACTGCAATTTCGCGGATGAACATATCCAAGCTCACACCCATTCAGGAGAAGGCGATTCCTCACCTCATGGCGGGACGCGACCTGATCGGCCAGGCGCGCACCGGCTCTGGAAAGACGCTGGCATTCGCAGTGCCCATGGCAGAGATTTGCGATCCGTCCCTCCGACAGGTGCAGGCCGTTGTGATAGTTCCCACCCGCGAGCTAGCCATGCAGGTGGCAGGAGTCATCGAAGCGCTGGTTTCCCCGCGGAAAATCCGGGTGACGCTCCTGTATGGGGGGCGGTCCCTGAAGCCGGAATACATAGCGTTGAGGAACGGTGCCCAAGTGGTCGTCGGCACTCCGGGCCGGACACTGGACCATCTGCGTCAGAGGACGCTTGACCTGAGCGCCGTGCGATTCCTGGTGTTGGACGAAGCAGACGAAATGCTTGACAGAGGATTCGCCCACGACGTGGAAGCCATCATAGGCCGCACGCCCAAAGAACGGCAGACAGCCCTCCTGTCCGCTACGATGCCTGAGTGGGTGTCCAAGACTGCCTCCAAGCACCTGCGCAATCCAGTAACGGTCGAGGTGGACGCGGGCCTGCAGGCGCCGCCCACAGTGGAGCACCTGGTCTACACCATCCGGAAAAGCGACAAGCTGGAAGCGCTAAGGACGCTGCTGGATCGACGGGAAGATGCCCCGGTTATTGTCTTTGGCAAAACCAAGCGCGGCGTCAAACAGCTGGCCCGAGAGCTGGATGCCTTGGGTTACCCGGTAGGAGCTCTCCAGGGAAATCTAAGCCAGAAAGCGCGCGAACTGGTGATGTCGGGCTTCCGTTCCGGGGCAGCGCCGATTCTGGTGGCAACCAACGTGGCCGCCAGAGGTCTGGACTTCGAGGGAATCGGCCAGGTAATCAACTATGATCTGCCGGACTCCGAGCAACTATTCACACATCGCGTTGGAAGAACCGGCCGCATGGGCCGCGCCGGCGAGGCGGTGACGTTCATCTCCGAGGGGGATGAGCGGAAATGGCGTGAAATCGAGCGGGACCTGGGCCTGCAGTTCACCAAGAAGCCCTGGAAGCAGGTCCGCAAAGCCAAGCCACTTCAATAGCGGTGTGCACTCAAACTGTAATTCTCGCGTATTCGAGAATGCGCCAGCGATCAAGTTGTAGATTCTTGACCGGTCTCGAGGCTTTGAATTCCGGCCGAAGCCTTCGCGGGAATGACAGTCTGGGACGGGAATGGCGGCAAGGAACGGGACTAACCGACGTGGACGTGGGATCTGGCCCGAGATGAGGCGTCCGTAATTGGTAAGACCTGCAGCAAGTTGCCGGCCCTACAGTCAACCCATGCCTTGAAAGATCTCCTTCCGGAGCCCCATTGCCTCGATGGGAGCAATGCATTCGTCCGGTTCCAGCATCTCCAGCAAACTGGGTATGGCGGCGATTTCGTTGAACTCCCTCTCAAAACTGAACTGCCCCAAGGCCAGAGCCTGTCTTCGTGGAAACCGGGGTGTCTTGAGAGGGATGCCGTTGGGCAGATGCGGGAAGGAGCGAAACCGCTCCTCCCTTCTCTTGCCAAACATTTCCACGTAGACTCACAAATCGGCGCCGCAGATGGCAATAGCGATGGTATCGAATAATTTATGGCCCTCCCTGCGGTCTATCCTTGTGTCATCCAAAACCTGAACGCGCTCCATAATCGACGTGCCCTGCCTCCTTTCTATGACTCCGCCTCATCACCCCGATCCTTGATTTGACCTCACTGCCACAAGTCAATCAGCTAAGACACGATTGCCCTGTGATGTTTGCAGAATGCTCGGCTCGATGCGAAAATAAAATAAATCCATAGCTAAAGCCGGTGTAGCTCAGTGGCAGAGCAGCGGTTTCGTAAACCGCAGGTCAAGGGTTCGAATCCCCTCACCGGCTCCATTCGCTCTCCCATTTTCCCGCCCTGTTTGCGATTGTCGTTGCACTCATTATCCTCACGTTCCTTTGGGCTTCCCGTTGCGCTTATAATGGCGCCCATACAGCTTTCGATATGGGCGGTTTGCGTTAATGAAATTCGGACTTTTCTATCAGATCCAGGTGCCCAAGCCTTGGGACGAGCAGAGCGAGGCGAGGCGCATCTGGGAGGCCTTGGACCAGATCGCATTCGCCGAGGAAATGGGATATGACAGCGTCTGGTTTTCCGAGCACCATTTCCGCCCGGTCTGGTCGCACAACAGCGCCCCCGACCTGACTCTGGCGGCGGTCACCCAGCGCACCTCCAGAATCCGCATGGGCATCGGCGTCGTGCTGGCTCCCATTCACCACCCGCTGCACACAGCGGCCCGCATGGCCACACTCGACATCCTCAGCAAGGGGCGAGTTGATGTGGGCCTTGGGCGTACTGGCTACCCTTACCAGCTTACCCCCTACGGCACCACCTTGGAGGACACGCGGGGGATGTGGGAGGAATTCGCCCAGGTACTTCCCCGCATCTGGACCGAGGAAGAAGTCAGCCATGACGGGGAGTTCTTCCACATTCCACCAAGGAATGTACTACCCAAGCCTCTGCAGAAGCCGCATCCGCCCCTCTGGTCGGCCTGCGGCAGTGAGGAACCACCCGCCGCGCTGGCGAGCTGGGGCTGGGGGCATTGGTGGGCAGCGAGGGCGGCCCCGACCGGGTGGCCGGCACGTTGGAGCTGTACCAAAAGAGCCTGAACGGGGCTCACGGCCCGACGATCAACAGCCAAAACGCGTTGATGACCGCAGGGTTCTGCCACGAGGACGCCAAGGTCGCCAAGTCTCGCGGTACCGAGCTGATCAGCTGGTACCTGGACCAGCAAAGGGAACGAGCGCGGCTGGTCTGGCGAGGAGTGGATCCTGCATCGGTGCCGCCCGACTACCAGGGCTACTACGAGCGGGACATGCGCCTGGCCGCCGGTCCCCATGAAGGCGACCCCACGCCGTCGGAGGTTGTAGACCGCGGCGCAAATTTCTGCGTCGGCACGCCTGATGACTGTATACGGTTCGTTGAGAACTACGAGGCCATGGGCATCGAGCAGATCTTCTGCCTCAGCGCAATCGGTCCGGCCACCAACGAAGAAACCATGAACACGCTGCGCATGTTTGGCAAGCACGTAATTCCCCATTTCAAGGCCAAGGAAAAGGCCGCTTAGGAGTTCATATATGAAGGCAGGCGTTGTATTCCCCCAGACCGAGATCGGCGCCGACCCGGCGGCGGTGCGGGATACGTCCAGGCGGCCGAAGGGCTCGGGTTCTCGCACCTCATAGTTTATGACCACGTTCTGGGCGCCGACACCACCAAGCACGCCAACTGGACCGGCGGCTACGTGCTTGAAAGCATGTTCCACGAGCCCTTCGTGCTGTTTGGCTATCTGGCAGGAATCACGACGTCCATTGAGCTGGTGACGGCGGTGCTCATCCTCGGTCAGCGGCAGACGGCGCTTGTGGCCAAGCAGGCGGCCCAGTGCGACGTGCTCAGTAACGGCAGGCTGCGCCTCGGCGTGGGCGTCGGCTGGAACCACGTGGAGTACGAGGCCCTGGGTGAGGACTTCCACACCCGCGGCGCCCGGCAGTCAGAGCAGATCGAGGTGCTGCGGCAACTCTGGACCAATGATGCCATCGATTTCCACGGCAAATACCACGACATCACCAACGCCGGCATCAACCCACTGCCGATACAGCGGCCCATTCCCATCTGGCTGGGCGCCGGCGGGCAGGGCCAGCCCCTCGCCCAGCGACCGCGTGCTTCGCCGCGTGGCCCGTCTGGCCGACGGCTGGTTTCCCCAGGTTGGCCTCGACGACGCCCCTGCCGTTCTGGAACGGCTGGCTGGTATGGCCGAGGCCGCGGGTCGCGATCCGTCCGCCATCCTGATGGAGGCACGCATAAACTCCGCGGACGGGGATCCGGAGTTCTGGCAGGCGCAGTCCGAACGGTGGGGCGGACTGGGAGCCAGTCACATTTCTATCAACACCATGCGCGCCGGTTACCAGTCCCCGCAGGACCACATCAACGCCATCCAGCAGTTCCGTGAGGTGGTGGGATAGGCAGCCGACGGCAACATCGTCCCCACCAGACTGAAACATGACATTGGAGTAGGCGATCTTGTGTGGCAGGTTCACCCTGATTTCCAGCGTCAGCGACCTCCAGTTCAGATTCGGGTTCGAGACAGAGGCCAAAGGCGTAGGGCCGCGCTATAACGTCGCGCCCACGCAGCAGGTACTGACCGTCGTCAACGACGGCGAAAAGCGTGGCGAGATGATGCGTTGGGGCTTGGTGCCGTCTTGGGCCAAGGACATCAAGATCGGCAACCGGATGATCAACGCCGTGAGCGAGACTGCGGCTTCCAAGCCTGCATTTCGCAGCGCCTTTCGACGCCGCCGCTGCCTGGTGCTGGCAAAACGGCTTCTACGAGTGGAGGAAAGAGGGCAAGCAGCGTATCCCCCTTTATTTCTACCAGATATCGGGCGAGCCTATGGCCCTTGCCGGGTTGTGGGAAACTTGGAAGTCCCCTGATGACGAGTGGATATGCTCCTGCACAATCCTTACAACGGCGGCCAACTCGTTCATTGAGCCTGTGCACAACAGGATGCCGGTCATACTGTCGACAGAGACCGTACCACTCTGGTTGGACCCGCTGACCGAAACGCCAGACAACCTGCAGCCGTTGCTTCTGCCGGCACCGTCGGAGTTACTTGATTTCCGCGAGGTATCGCCAACGGTCAACAATGTCCGAAACGACAACCCAGGCTGCATAGAACCGGCCATACCCACTGAAGAGGTGCGGCTGTTCAGGTAGCGGCGGAATCGTCTGCCCCAGTTTCCAGCCGAGCCCGCCTCTTCATGGCGGTTATGACGCTTGCCGCCCATCTGGCAGCCGGGCTGAACCTCTTTGCTCTGTCCCCCCTACTTCCACTGGCAATCGAGGAATACGGGATCAGCCATTGGGCGGCGGGGATGCTGGTATCCCTACCCATGCTGGTTGCCGCGGGTATCGGGATCCCCGGCGGTATCCTCATCGCCCGCATAGGTGTTAAACGGGCCTATATGTGGGCGTGGGTGGCCATGGCGTTGCTGGCCCTCGCACCGGTCGTTCCCAACTTTTGGGTGTTGCTGGCGCTGCGCCTGGCATACGGCGTGGGTCTGGCGTTTGTGGTGGTGGCTACCGGCCCGCTGGTGATGCAGTGGTTCAAGCCCAAGGAAATGCTGGTTATCAACTCTCTGAATACTGCCATCCTGAGTGCGGGTGTGGCAGTCTCTTTGGCGGGTGCCGTTCCGCTGGCCGATTTGCTGGGCTGGAAGATGACCCTGACGGTGTTCTCAAGCGTCGGAATCATCGGGACCGTGCTGTGGCCGCTGGCGCCCAAAGATGGGCAGAACGGGACAGACCAAGCGAAGGGTATTTCAATTCGAGAGGTCTTGAGGGTCCTCCGCGGAAGGGCCGTGGTGCTTCTCGTAGCCGCCGACGCGGGAATCTTTATTCAATACACGGCATTGACCACTTGGTTGCCAACATTCTACGGAGAGGAGCGAGGAATTTCTCCCCAAGAGGCGGGATTCATCACAAGCATTCTGCCATTCATTGGGATATTCGCGGTCCTTGCTGGAGGCGCAGTTCCACTGTTGTTTGAGTCCTACCGATCAGCATTTCAGCGCTTCGGAGGGCTGGGCGACTTTCTTTTCTCCTACCGCGGAGTGATGGCTTTCTCAGGGGTATTGGCAATTGTAGGCGGGCTGGGAACATTCTTATTAGGAAATTTGCTTGGAATTTATGTCTCGGTTGTGGTGCTGGGCATAGGATCCTGGTTCTATGTCCCGGCTCTGCTCACGATTCCAATGAGGTTGGAGGGAGCGACTCCGGAGCGGGTGGCAGCGGTTTGGGGATCATATATGACCTTCTCGGGTCTAGGGATGTTCATATTCCCGATCCTCGTGGGTGGGCTCTATGACGCTTTCAGCTCCTACTATCCTGGTTTCATCATTTGCGCCGTGGCAAGCTGGGCGCTGTTGATCGCAGGTGTCCTCCTGCCAAGAGACGCGGGCACACAGAGCTCCGATGCCTAGGGCAATTGCCTTTGTAAATTTTGATCACATTTGCCGCTTGCCAAGCATTGTGATGGCTCCGTACCATAAATTCATGCCTGTTGCTTCCCACAGTGCCACGGTTTATTTCCGGCTAACGCTATGGCCATCAGGTTATGCTCGAACAGGCTGGAAAGACCAGTGGGACAAAATGGGACGTAAATGAAAATTTCGATCACTCGGGGCACGCTTTAGATAGGAAATAACGGGAATTTGGGCCAAAATGGGGCTGAATGGGACAAAATGGGACAAGAATGAGAACTTTCAGTCCCACGGGGAGACCCATTAACCTTCACAGGTCCGCCGCTCTCGAATAGATGTATTCGATTCCCTATACACCCACGGATTCTCTCCAGCCAAATATGATCTCCCTGCTCCGATGATTGATTGACAAGGCTCGATTGCGGCGCGTAGGGTTAAGTCGGTCTTTCCGACCTGAAAGGAGGTTCGAAATGGCGAGAATCCCCGCCGCGACGAGAGAAAACATCCCGCAGGACCAGGTGGCCGAATTTGACCAGATGGTGCAGAACCTGGGCGGAGTCCCGCTCTACGGCCCCGGCTCCGTGTTGATTCATGTGCCCAAGGCGCACCAGGCCGCCACTGCGCTCAACAACTACCTCCGCAACGAGTCCTCGCTGCCCGCCGCCGCCCTGGAGTTGGCGATGCTGCTGGCTGCGCGGGAATACGACTGCCAGCACATCTGGAACGCCCACGCCGGGGCCGCCCGTGCCGCCAGCGTGCAGGACGGCGTGGTGGACGCCATCCGCGACGGCAAGGAGCTGCCCCCTCTCACCGACCTGGAGCGTGCCGTCATCAACTACGCCCGCGAATTCTTCCAGGATCGCAAGGTAGGCCGCGGCGCCTTCCAGGACGCTCTGGAGCAGTTCGGCAAGCAGGGTCTGATCGAGCTTACGCTGGTCATTGGCAACTATAGCTTCCTGGCCTTCGTAATCAACGCTTTCGACCCCGACCTGCCCTCCAATCGCACCGAGCCGCTGCTGCCGGGATAGGCAAAGTTCCCCCAAGCCGGAGAAGAAACAGTCGTTTAAGAATATTTGCATTTACGGGAGATGTAACCATGGCGGTGGAACCCTTCAAGATCGATATTCCTGATTCTGTGCTGGACGATCTCAAGGCAAGGCTGGAGCGCACGCGGTGGCCCGACGAACTCCCCGGCGTCGGCTGGGAGTACGGCTCCAACATGGATTACATCAAGGAACTGGTGGAGTACTGGAAGAACGACTTCAACTGGCGCAAGCAGGAGGAGCTGATCAACAGCTTCTCCCACTTCAAGGCGCCGGTGGACGGGCGGCAGGTACACTTCATCCACGAAAAGGGGAAAGGGCCGAACCCGCTGCCGCTGATCATCACTCACGGCTGGCCCGGCACTTTCTTCGAGATGCACAAGGTCATACCCCTTCTTTCCGACCCTGCGGCCCACGGCGGCGACCCGGCCGACGCCTTTGACGTGGTGGCGCCGTCGATGCCCGGATACGGCTTTTCTGATGCGGCCCAGGAGCGAGGCCTGGATGTGCTGGCCGTTGGCGACGTCATGGCCAAGCTTATGCACGAGCAGCTGGGCTATGATCGTTTTGGTGCACAGGGTGGCGACTGGGGCGCCAGCGTCACTGCGCGGCTGGGCCACTCGCACTCCGATCACTGCATCGGCATACACACTACCTCGGTCACCCGCCCCACTCCATATATGGGACCAGGTTCTCGGCCGCTGAGTGAGGCTGAGCAAGGGCTGCTCAGACAACGCGAGGAATGGCTGGCCGCGGAGGGGGGATATTCCCACATCCAGGGCACCAAACCGCAGACGCTGGGTTACGGCCTCAACGACTCCCCGGCAGGATTGTGCGCCTGGATCGTCGAAAGTACCGCACCTGGAGCGACTGCCACGGCGATGTAGAGTCCAAGTTCACCAAGGACGAACTGCTGACCACCGTGACCATCTACTGGGTAACGCAGTCCATCAACTCCTCCACCCGCCTGTACTACGAGACACTGCGCAAGCCATGGGACTTCTCCCAGGGAGAGCGCATCAACGTGCCGGTGGGCGTCGCGGTGTTCCCAGCCGAGATCAGCCGCGCTCCACGGGAATGGGCGGAGCGTTCCTACAACGTGCAGCAGTGGACGGTGATGCCCAGCGGGGGCCACTTTGCGGCCCTCGAGGAGCCGGAGCTACTGGTGGAGGACGTTCGCAACCACTTCCGCTCCCTGCGTTAGTCTCAACAGGCCTAGCGTTAACCGCAGCTAGCATTCCATTGTGCCCTGCCATTCACCCCAGCTCCCGCCACGGGGTGAAAGGCAGGGCTCTATAATTGCATCGTCCTCCCCGGGCAAGCATGGGACAGCAATCGCGCCCTCCTATTGGAAAGAATCACCACACCCAGGAGCCTCTCATCCCAGCTAACACCCCAGCCGTTTACTGGCTTCGCTCCTATTCAGGAGTCATGCTGCTGGTGGCCTTTCTGGTCAACTTTGCCACTGGCTTCGTCCAGTTTGGCTACAGTCTGACGCTGCCGTCCATGGAGGCGGCCCTGCACCTTTCCCATACCGAGGTGGGACTACTCATAACGCTCACAGCGGCAACCCGAATGGGAGGAGCCCTTGTCTCGGGTACGCTGTCGCCGCGCTACGGCAGCCGCTCCATTTCCGCGGGAGGCACGCTGGCAGTGGGAGCGAGCATGGTTCTTCTGGGGTTCGCCCAGAGCTATGGAATGGCGCTGGGCGCGGCCGTGCTGATGGGCATTGGCAGTGGTGCGGCACTGACCCCGGTCATGGGGCTGCTTTCGGCGTGGTTCCGGCTTAGAGACCGGGGGCTGGCCGCAGGGCTGGCCGCATCAGGCGGAAGCATCGCCTTTATCGTTGCCGGGGTCGCCGTTCCCATCCTGACCGGCTCTAACTGGGACGACGGCTGGCGCCACAGTTGGCAATTCTTTGGCGTCATGGTCCTGGTTATTGGAGTGGTCTCTCTGATATTTGTACGTGAGCGCCCCCCAGAGCCCCTGGAAACGGAACGACGTTCGACCTCACCGCGCAGTTCCTGGCCGATTGAGGCTTTCAAGCACCCCTCAGTCTGGATAATCACTCTGCTTGCCTTCACCTCTGGATGGTCTCAGAACCTGTTCACCACCTTTTACGGGCTCTACCTCACCCAGGAGAACGACATCTCGCTAGGCACAGCCGGGCGACTGGTGATCCTGATCGGGGCTCTGAGCATTGGCAGCGGGGTGGGCTGGGGCTGGATGTCGGACAAGCTGGGCCGCGGGCAGGCCTTCGCCTATTCATTCCTGGTGCAGGGCGCGTCGTTTGTGCTGCTGGCGGCTGCGCCGGTGTTCGTGTCGTTTGTGATCGCATCCGCACTGATGGGCATAACGCTGAGAGCGGCCTACACGATATGCGCGGCCTCGTCGGGGGATTACGTGCCGGTGCGGTTCTCGGCGGCGGCCTTCGCCCTAATGTCGGTGGGCGCCGGTCTGGGCAGCACGATCTCCCCTACTATCGGCGGCCTGCTGGCCGACTTCGTGAACATGAAGTGGGTGTTCTGGATGGCTTCAGTCGGCTCGGTCCTGGGGCTGCTAGGGGCGTTCTACCTGCAGACCAGGCGGAGAGCCGACGCGCCATAGCAACTTGCGTCAGGTGGTCGGGCGACCGGAGCGCCTGAGCATCTGCTCCTGCAATTGCCGCATTCTTCGCAGAACAACAGCCTTGGCGGTGCGGAAATCCTCAACGTTTACGCGCGCAACCGCGGCCCTGTAGCCTTCCACGATTCCGAAGCACAGGCCAGCCAACACGCCCCCTACGATAGCGTCTAGAACGAAATGGTTTCCGGTCACAGTGATGGCAAAAAAGGTCATCGCCGGGTAGAGGAGACCCACGGCTTTAAATCCGCCCGGAAGTGAGCGAAACCAGTACACGCCAAGTATGACGGTCCAGCTGAAATGGAGGCTGGGCATCGCGGCAGTCGTGTTGTAGAAGACGGCCATTGTCTCCGAACCGTAAAGCGCCGGACCGAATGCCTGGATGGTGTCCACCAAGCCGACCCCAGGAATAGCGAAGGGCGAAGCCACCGGGAACAGCATGAACGACAAGAGGGCGGCGATCAGGTTCAGCAACACCACGGTGCGATAGTAGTAGTACTTTCTGCGATTACGAATGAACAGGAATATGGCGAGGCCGAGGATTACCGGCCAGTAAGTGAGGATGTAGGCCCAGTTGAGAAACACGACGATTCCGCGAACGTGTTCAAGGGCCCAAGCCTGCCACCCTGGCTCCCATAGAAATCCCAAGTCGCGCTGCAGGTCGGCGATGCGTCCGCCGTTAACGATCCCCACCTGACGGACGTTGTCGAATACCAACCCGCGGCTGAATACATACACCAAATACGCGCCAACGTAGAGAGAAATCTCCGCGAAGGTACGCCGGTACTCCCATGCCCAGAGTGCCGTCGGCGTCTGCAGACAGGCCGCCAGCCACCTGGCCGCGGGGGTCTGCAGGAGCGTCAACAGCAACTGCTGCACCCAGGCCACGACTATGGGCGACCAACGTTCGCGGGCATACGCCCAGCGTGCCCAAACGCGACGTAAACTGGCTGTACTGGCGGCGCGCATTATGGGACCCTACGGCTCCTCAAGTGAGCAATCCTGCCTGCCATATCTGTAACCTGATTCATCTTCTACTTCGATTTCAGCTGCTTGCGATCTGTCTCCCCGGAGCGGTTTCCAATTGATGGTCGGTTTATCTCAGGTATTCTGAAAGGTAATAGACTACTGGATGTCGGAGCACTGGGGAGAGATTTGCCGCCCGGGAGAAAACGCGAACCGCTTTATTGCGGAATCGCTATTTCTGCGGAGACAATTTGTGGTTGGCAACAGCCAACTGAAAGGTGGGGCGCTTCGCTCTCTTCGCCGCAAGATAGTGGCGCGTGAGCAAGGGTGCGGGACTTGGACAACGCTGCCGCGGGGAAATGCGAATCAATTATGTCAGGCCGCCCAAGGCGGACCGAACTGTCCAAGATTAGTCCGTGGCGCGAGGGCCGGGGATGCGGGTCAATTATGTCCCGGCAAAGACCGTTAGCGGCGGGCCAGTGTGGGTATGATCGGGCCGCCGCATTCCCAGGGTTTTCAGTTCGACGCTCGGCATTCTGCATGGTAGTGCGCCGTATATGCGTAGGGACCTTTCGCCTTGTCCCTTTTACCTAAGATACTATCAATACCAGTGGGGAATTCCGTAGCCTTCCAGCAACATCGCTCAGAGGGCTGGCTACCATTTTACATTTCCACCAGTCTTCCGGGCAACAAATCCGTCCAGAATATCCTTGTAATAACGAATTTCCGGAATTATAGGCAAATCAATTCAGTGCGGCAATACCCCTTGCCGAGGGCATTTTCGGGGTCAACCGCGCTACGTAAGGAGGGATGCATTGGCCAGAGTAGAGCTTGTTACAGAACAACAGGCCGAAGGTCGGGTCAAGGAAATCTATGAAAGACATCAAGGAAACGATGGGCTGGGAATTCGTCCCCCAGACCTTCCAGCTGGTCGCCCACAATCCGAGCCATCTCGAGTCGTACTGGGCCCACTACAAGCAAACCATGACCGCTGGGCGACTGGACCTGAGAACCAAGAAAATCATCGCGTACGTCGTTTCGGCCATGAACAACTGCGGTGTTTGAGTGCGGTTCCATCTGGATGCCGTGAAGCATCTCGGAGTGGACGACGCCACGCTGGCCGAGGCTGTGGAAGTAATGACCGAGGTCGCCAAGGGGAACCTGATCATGCATTCCACTGGCCACCGGCATTAAGAAACTATCTCAAGACTAATGGTCTCGACAGCCTCGCCAGGATTAGCGGGTGTGCAGGTTGGGCCCCTGGATTCCCGTTTTCGCGGGAATTACGATTTGGATGAAAGGCCAGTTTTGAGGTGGTTACTAACACCTGGTTACACCGCGTGCTGTGCGGGTGACAGACAAGGGGTTTAGTTCATCTAGTCCTGTAGGAACACATAGGCTGCGGAGTTGGGGCCGCGATCAACGTGGCTGTGTCCCCTGCCGGAGGTATCCTCCATGAGTCGGGCGTCGCCGGCTCGGAACAGGTGGGATGATCCATCAGAGGTGGTGATTTCCGTCTCGCCGCTCAGGTGGATGATGAACCGCCGGTCGGGCAAGGATGGAAGTCCATGGTACGCGGTTCGGTCCACCACTGAACCTTGACCTCGGCAATATTCATCATTGAATGCAACTCAGGGTGTTCCTCCAGCTTGAGTTCCTCCATGTGACTTTCGCCGTCATCGGTGGCGTAAATCCGGAATATCGACATTTCGCTCCTCCATCCTGTGGCCACCAAAGTTCTCCGCCGATCCCGCGTGCGGCATCAGCCAGCTTGCTGCGTCACCTTCTCCCGCCATCCCTCTTGCGCCTCGAACTAAAGCTCAAGCAAGCCGGGCAGGCAGATATGCAGTGGATTTCCGATTGCGATGGTACGCGTCCGTCATGAGGCTTGGCAAGGGAATAGTGCCAGTGCAGGAGCATTTTGTTTCAGGTGGTCGAATCATCGACTCGTTTCAGGATGATGCCGCTGTCCGGTATTGTGTTCGGACACCGGATTTCCAAACCGTGTGCCATTGCTCCAGACCAGTCCGAGGGCAGGGCCTGCTCCGGCAAGACGCCGGAGGAGTGTCTCAATACAATGTGGCACCAGACAGGGTACCCCCCACAAAATGTCTGCCATTTCCTGCCATTTCCTGCCATTGTGTGCCATTCTCCACGAACCTGAGTCTCAATAAGAGGTCTCTCCGTCCTCGCAGGGCACCCTGGGGAGATGCCGTGACAGAGGTTGCCGAAATGAAAATTCCTGAATTCCCACTATTTCCCGCTCTTTTGTGTCGGCATTTGCGGACTCCTCCGGATGGTGGAGTTGCGAGTAAAGGTAACCAATGTTAAAGAACATGTGTTTGATTATATGGGAGCGGTACCTGATTTGGAAGGAGCGAGTGTCGGAAGATAGGGTTCCGAATTCGATGGTCGAGTTACACGTCCAGTCAGCAAACACCGGGCCCTCGATTCCCGCTTTCGCGAGAATGACGGCCGCACCGGCTTCAAACCAATCAAATTGGAACGATGTTGTACCAGCGCGGCTGGAATCGTAAAGGTGTAAGCTGGTAGGAACAAGGCTAACCGCCTGATATACGGCGATAAAGAGCGTAGGGCTTGGACTGGAAGACCTTGGCAATCGGGACGGGGGCGGGGCTCCTGTTGGGGGCGATCCTCGCGGTCGCAGTAGTGATCTGGATGGTGCGGCGGGAGCCCTACGCCACCTTCTACCGGCTCGGCCTGCGGGCCAAAGTGACGTTCCTGCGCCTGCTGGTGTTGGACCGGCGCCTGCCGTGGTACGTGCGCGCCCTGCCGCTGGCGGTGCTGATCTACTGGCTCAGCCCCCTGGACCTGTTACCGCTGTTTCCCTTTGACGACGTGGCCTTCGCTTTTCTGGTCATCGCGCTAATGGTCTGGTTGATCCCCCGCGAGCTGATAACTGAGTTGCTGAATACGGCAGACTCGCGTTACCCGGCTGGAGGTCGCGGCTAGGGGGCTCCGCGGGGTCATCCAGTCCCGCACGCGGCGCACCCAGGGGCTGTCGGGGTCGGCGTGGTCCAGGCTGATCTGGAAGTGGTTGTGTCCCTCCCGCACCATCTCCTCGACGTACCCCCTGCTGTGAACGAAGGGCCTCCAGCATCCGGGGGTGCTGGGCACGCAGGTTGTCGAAATCGTCGGTGCCAATCTCCAGCAGAAATGGCGTGGTGTTGCCATCGGTATTGTAGACAGGACTGGCATCACGGGCGTCCTCTTCCGACTCCAGGAACGCCTCGCGGCGGTCAGGGAGGGTATCGAAGACGTCGAAAACGCCGCTGACCGGAAAACAGGCTTTTATCACGTCATGAGGCAGGGCCAGTGACATTAGCTGCTCCCGTTGCAAAGTTAGCATCGCTGCAAGGTGCCCACCGGCGGAATGTCCGCTGACGTAGATCTGCCCGGGATCGCCGCCGTATGCAGCGATGTTGTCGTAGACCCATCGCAGTGCAGCGCGGCAGTCATCCACCTGCTGCGGGTACTTGGCGCCGGGAGCCAGCCGGTACCCAACTGCCACCAGCAACGCCGGGGCCGGCGTAATTGCCGGAGCCATGAATCCCATCAAGTCCTTGTGGCCGATGACCCAATAGCCGCCGTGCATAAACAGCAGCACCGGGGCTGGCTGTGGGGACGGGTCGTCGGGCATGTAGACGTCAAGTTTCTGGCGCTCATCGGCGCCATAGGGCAAATTGAGGGCCACCCTGGATTGCGCGCGCACATCGTCGGACCAAGCCATTGCCTGCTCCAAATACTGGGGTGCACCCGGCGAAGGATGCGGTGCCCGCTGTGCCTGTTCAACCATGGCAGTGCCCTCCGTTTATCATTTTGTCTGAGCCACGAGGTCCTGGGATTTCCCGGGGTTCTCGTTTTCCTATAATAGACTACGGAAGTAAGATTCGTTGACTCCAACCGATATACAACTGGCCGGATAATTCAATGACTGACCATGCCCTGGTCGACCGGTTCCGCCAAGCGAGGCGCGATTCCGCGCTTGCGGTGTTAGACGGACTCCACGCAGTGAAGCATGCCCTGCGTTTTGGCGCAGAAGTGCTGGAAATGGTCAGCCCTGACATAGACTCTGCCCAAGAGCTAGCGTTCCAGGTTGCTCCCGACGTATGTCCGCAGCTTGCGGACCAACTGTCGGCCGTATCAGTTGACGATTACCAGCTACTTTCCCCGGTGCCGCCGGAAAACGGGAGTCATTGCCATAGCCCGCCGTCCCCCTGTCGAGATTGATGAGGTTCTCCGTGGGCCGTCCGATAGCCCGGTGGTGCTTCTTGAAAACCCGCGTAATCCATTCAACATCGGCGCTGCGGTGCGAGTAGCCGCTGCTGCCGGCGCAGCGGGCGTGCTGACGACGGGCCAGCAGGACCCCTGGCACCCGGCGGCGATAGTTGCTGCCGCAGGACTGCAGTTCGCGCTGCCTGTCGGGCGTGCCGACCGGATCCCCGTTTGCTCCCGACCCATCATGGCGATCGATCCGCAAGGGGAGCCCATGCCATGGAGAGAAGTCCCTCGCGGCGCAGTGCTGGCCTTCGGCACAGAGCGGCGCGGAGCAAGCGAAGAGCTGTTGTCCCGCGCATCCCGGCGATTGTCCATTCCGATGAGTTTCGGAGTGTCTAGCCTGAACCTGGCCACCTCTGCAGCGGTCGCGCTATATGCCCTGAAATTTCGATGACCTCCCGGTGTCTGTCTGTTTGAAGAGATAAGAAGCAGCGGGAGTGTCATTTCCCCTGAAAAGACGCATTCGCTGGTACTTTTTGAAAACTGCCGTACCAGACATAATCTAAAGCGACTGAAAGGCGGAAGTCGGTTTATAGCCGCCCAACTTTACCCATGGTAATCTGGTTGTAACTGTCGTTCGCAAACACTACAGTTATTATCTATAGGAATTCGTGGCACTTGAGCCGGAATTCGTTACCAATTATCTCCGTTCGGCAGGGGTTGTAGACGATTTTGCTGGTCCTTTGGACACTCAGGGCTCTGGGTGCATTGGTGTTCGCGGCGCTGGGTTGGTGGCTGTGCCTTTCCTTTGAGGTTGCATCCCCCAAAAGCCAGTTTCTGCCCTGGGGATTGGTCTTTGTCCTGTGTGGTGCGGTTGTAGGGGGAGGCATAATTCCCTTCCTAATCGCTGGCCCGGGCCGCAGCGTTGCCAAGTACATCTCAGAATTGCCCGGCGCGACCCTTGTAGCGGCCGTGGTGGGACTGGTTGTGGGCCTGATAGTAGCCTCCCTGGTGTCGATACCCTTCTACGCGATGAGTGGAACCATGGGTGTGGCAGTGCCGGTAGCCATAAGCCTGCTTTTTGGCTGCGGGGGGATGTGGCTTGGCATTCAAAGAGAGCGGGACATCCGCGCCATCGTGCCGGGGCTGGCCGTAGACAATCACGAGGTGGCGCCGCTGTCGGACCAGGACACGTTCATACCGGGGCTTGATCCCATTGCAGGCGCTCCGGCCGGGCGTCAACAGCGCGACAATACGATACTGGTGGACACTTCGGCCATCATCGACGGGCGCATCGCCGACCTCACCGTCACCGGATTCCTGAATGGCTCCCTAGTGGTGCCACGCTTCGTCCTGGACGAACTGCGCCACATAGCCGACTCAAGCGACTCCCTCAGGCGCAATCGAGGCCGCCGGGGGCTGGAAGTGCTGGGGAGGCTGCGCAAGGATGGCTCGGTGCCGTTGCAGGTGCTGGACGTGGGCGTAGATGCCGGGGTAGAGGTGGATGCCCGCTTGGTCGAGCTGGCTCGCGGCATGAAGGGGTCGATTCTCACTACGGACTACAACCTCAACCGCGTTGCGGAGATCCAAGGCGTCAAGGTGCTGAACGTCAACGAGCTGGCCAACGCAGTCAAGTCGATCGTCCTGCCCGGGGAGACCCTGCGGGTGGACATCGTCCAGGAGGGCAAGGAGGCGGGCCAGGGCGTGGCCTATCTCGACGACGGAACCATGGTCGTTGTCGAAAACGGGCGCCGTTATATCAACTCCAGCCACGATGTACAGGTGACCAGAGTGCTGCAGACCGCTGCGGGGCGCATAATCTTTGCACAGCCACGCGCAGGCTGATCCCGGCCTCCGACTGACGAGCAACCCATTGACCTCCTCTGCGGAAAATTCGTCGCTTCGAATCGGCGCGGTCATTGTCGCCGCCGGCAGGAGCACGCGCATGGGCGGAGTGGACAAGACCTTTGCGCCGCTGCTGGGAATACCGCTGATTGCCCACACACTGGGCCGGTTCGAATCCTCCCCTGTAATCGGCGAAATTGTGTTGGTGCTCGCACCGGATTCCGTGGAGCATGGTAGGACGCTGGTAGCAGAGCGCGGGTACAAGAAAGTTACGCAAGTGTGCGCCGGCGGAGAACGGCGGCAGGACTCGGTGCGCCATGGCCTGCACGCTTTGACCCCCTGCGATCTCGTGATGGTGCACGACGGCGCCCGTCCCTGCGTGGATAGCGCGATGCTCGAGCGGGCTGCCAGAACCGCGGGGGAACACGGCGCGACAGTGGCGGGGATGCCGGTCAAGGACACCATCAAGCGGGTTGCCGCCGATCTCGTGATAGAGGATACGCCCGAGCGCGCTCTACTTTGGCAGGCCCAGACTCCCCAAGTGTTCGGCTACGATCTGTTAGTGGAGGCCCACAGGGTGATTGAGGGAGATTTCACCGACGACGCTGCGATGGTGGAAAGCCTGGGGAACCGGGTCCGTATGTTCGAGGGGTCTTACGAGAACATCAAGGTTACTACCGCCAGCGATCTAGTTATCGCGGAGGCGTTCCTTGAGCAACTCGGTTTACCTCAATCCCGGCAGGGCTAGAGTTGACCCCCAGTGGCTGATTTTCCAGACACTCGTGTCGGGATAGGGTTCGATTCCCATCCGCTTGTGCCCGATCGTCGGCTCGTTCTGGGTGGAGTGGAGATTCCCCACGACCACGGGCTGGAAGGACACAGCGACGGAGACGTTCTGGTGCACGCCCTGATGGACTCTCTGCTGGGGGCAGCGAACCTGGGGGACAAGGGGATTCACTTCCCGTCATCCGACCCGCGGTATAGGGACATTTCCAGCCTGTTGCTGCTGGAGCGGGTGGCTACACTGGTCAAGGATGCTGGTTGGCGGGTGTCAAACGTTGATGCTACAATGCTGGCGCAAACGCCCCGGCTCGGGCCGTTCATCCAGGCCATGAGGGAAAGATCCGCCACTGCGCTAGGCATCTCGCCAGACCGGGTAAGCATCAAGGCAACAACCACCGACCATTTGGGGTTTGTCGGTCGAAGCGAGGGTATAGCAGTGTGCGCCGTGGCCTGCATCGTGTCCAACGGACCCGGAGCTAACTAGTCCTTGGGCACTGTTTGCGCAGGGCCCTCATTCAAATCTTGATAGTGAGCGCCGGCCCCACTGCGGCCCGCCATTCTCCGGCTCATGAAGCTGTACAACACGCTGACCGGCGATGCCACCGAGTTCACTCCCGCGGACGGAAAGACCGTCAAGATGTATGTCTGCGGAGTCACTCCTTATTCTTCCACACACATCGGCCATGCCCTCAGTTATGTCGCCTTCGATGTGCTGCGCCGGTATGTGGAACACCTTGGGTTTGAGGTTCGGCACGTCCAGAACTTCACGGACGTGGACGACAAGATAATTCAGCGCGCCCAAGAACAGGGTATAGAACCCACTGGTCTGGCAGAGCAGTTCATAGAGGACTTCTTCCAGACGATGGATGCGCTGAATATAAAGCGCGCCCACGTTTACCCGCGAGCCACGGAGGAGATCGGCCCCATCATAGAGACCATCGGGAAACTGGTGGATTCGGGTTATGCCTACGCCGCGGGCGGCGACGTATTTTTCCGAGTCGAGCGGAGCGAGGATTACGGAAAACTTAGCCACCGCACTCTTGAAGGGATGCAGGCGGGCTCCCGCATCGAGATCGACGAAAACAAGGAACATCCCATGGATTTCGCTCTCTGGAAGGGCGCTCGTCCCGGAGAGCCGTCTTGGGAGAGCCCCTGGGGGCCGGGCCGCCCGGGCTGGCACATTGAGTGCACCAGCATGTCCATGAGCTATCTCGGCGAGAGTTTGGACATCCACGGCGGCGGGCAAGACCTGGTGTTCCCTCACCACGAGAATGAGATCGCGCAGAGCGAGGCCTCCACCGGTGTAATTCCGTTCTCCCGATACTGGGTCCACAACGGGCTGCTGCGGCTGGGCGAAGACAAGATGAGCAAGTCGCTGGGCAACCTTGTGTCAGTTGAAGAGGCCCTGCAACGATTTTCACCAGACACCATCCGCCTGTATTTCCTGAGCTCCCACTACCGCAGCCCGCTGTCCTACACCGACGACGGATGCGCGGGAATGGAGCGCAGCCTGGAACGCCTGCGGAATGCGCTGACGCGTGACGGCGGCAGCGAGAGTGATATCCTGGACCCTGAACCCTACCAACGCCTGTTCTTTGAGGCGATGGACGAGGATCTCAACACCCCGCGGGCCCTGGCAGCCCTCTTCGACCTCGCTCGGGACATAAATCGCAGCAGCGATGCAGGTCAGCAGGTGTCCGACGCCCAAGATAGCCTGCGGCATCTTGGTGGCATCCTGGGCCTGACTTTCGAGGCGCCGGAGGGAACTGCTACGGGAGCGGGACCCTTCATTGAACTGCTCCTGGAAACACGGACAGCTTTGCGCCAAGCGCGCCAGTTCGAGCACGCTGATCGGATCCGCAACGGCCTGGAACAACTGGGAGTTTCGGTTGAGGACAGTCCCAGCGGGTCTGTCTGGCATATGCGCCGATCATAATTTCTCAGTGTCCCTCGAATATTCGAGGTCTGGGAAATCCTCGCTGACTGCTACCCCTGTGCTATGCTTTTATTCAATGAGCATTGCCCATGACTGACCATCTGAAAGCGTCGCCGCCTGATCGGTACGAGGAAATCAGCCGCCACCTCCTCGAACAGGCGCAGGCGGCACTGGACAAAGGCGACATCCTGCAGGCCTCGGACAAGGTCTGGGGTGCGACGGCCCACGCCGTCAAGGCCGTCTGCCAGCGAATGGGCTGGAATCACCACGCCCACAACCACATCAGTGCGGCGGCAAATTACGTTGCGTCTGGTTTGAATCGCCAAGACCTGATGGAAGCCTTCGGTTTCCTGGAAGCCATGCATGTCAACTACTACGAACATCAAAAAGAAGCCGACCAAGTCAGGCTGGAAGTAAATCGCGCGGCATTCTTTGTAGGCGAATTCAGTGCGCTAGCATTTTCCGAGATCAATAACGCACAGTCTCATCTGTCGCCCCTTGAACAAGCTGGTCAACAACGCCGCCTGCGAATGTTAACCCGGAAAAATAGATACTCTCACGGCCCACAGTTTGAGGGTGAAGAGCTGGATGCCTTGCCGCCGGTGACCCTTCCATCCTTCGACACCAGTGATAGCGATGCTGGATGAATCGGGTGTTGCCTCGCTGGCCAGCATCGTGGGGGACGAGAACGTCCTGGCCGACGCCGACTCTCTCGACCGCTACACTGGCGATTCCCTTTCGCCCAGCCGTGCCTTCGGTGCTGCTGCAGCTTTTGAGCGACTGGCCGATGTGGTGGTGCGGCCGGGCTGCACCTCGGAGGTGGCCGAGGTCGTGCGATGGGCCAACGAACACCAGATCCCAATCGTTCCTTACGGCGGCGGAACGGGTGTCATGGGAGCAGTGGTCCCAGAACGCGGGGGCATAGTACTGGACGTGAAGAGGATGAATCGCGTCCTGGAAATCGACCCTGAGAGCCTCACAGCCCGGGTGGATGCGGGGGTCGTGCTGGAGGAACTGGAGACAGTTCTGGCAGAGCACGGCCTGATGATTGGCCATGACCCTTACAGCGTTCCCATCGCCACCGTTGCGGGCACCATCTCCACCAATGGCGTGGGTTACCGGGCCTGCGCCCACGGACCGATGGGCGACCAACTCGTCGGACTGGAGGCCGTGCTTCCGGACGGCCGAATCATCGAGACCCGGGACGTACCCAAGTATTCCTCAGGGCCCAACCTGAACCATCTGTTCATAGGTGCCGAGGGCACCTTCGGCGTCATAACACGGGCCACCATCCGCATCTACCGCGTTCCGGAATCTGCCCAATTTGCCAGTGTAGGATTCGATACTTTTGACGAGGGGTTCGCTGCCGCGACGGAGATGTTGGCGCTGGGCATTCGTCCCTCACTGCTGGACCTGACGGAAGAAGATGAAGAAGTAACGCTGCACCTGCTGTTCGAGGGATTCACTGAGGGTGTGGCGCCCAGGCGCAGCGGGCGGCAGCAGTCTGTGACGCAGCGGGTGGCTATTCCCTTGGAACAGAGCCCACTGAACACTACTGGGCAGTTCGGCGCGACTCAGCGGAAAGCTACAAGTTGACGGCGCTGGGTCAGCCACGCAAGGTGCGCTGGAATCGCTGGCGCCGCCGCCGCGGTTTCGACTACCTCCACCTGGCACTTCCAGCGTCACGCGTGCTGGAATATCGCCGCAGGGCTGGGGAGATGTTGGCGTCGCAGGGCATAGCGGTGGCGGAGTATGCCATCTGGAGCCGCCCCGAGCTGTTTTCCATGCTCATATTTCCCGAATCGGGGGACCCCGCGGAGGCGCATAAGCGACTGGCCCGTACGGTCGACCGTGTGCTCGAGCTGGCACAGGACATGGGTGGTGCAATGGAGTATTGCCACGGCGTCGGGGTGAAGCTCAATCACCTCCTCGCACGAGAGCTTGGAGTTGGGCACGATGCCATTCGCGATCTCAAGAAGACCCTTGATCCCAACAACATTATGAACCCGGGAAAGCTGGGGTTGTGACTTGGAATTCGGACTGCAATTCTTCCCCGATGTTTCCCCAGAGCAAAAATCGGCGCAGCAGTACTGGTCTGAGTGCCTGACCCTCGTTGACCTCTGCGATGAGCTTGGCTACATGCATGTCCGCACGGTGGAGCACTATTTCGAACCCTACGGCGGGTACAGCCCAGCGCCCCACGTTTTCCTGACGGCGGCCTCACAACGCACCCGGAACGCCCGGCTGCTTACCGGGGCGGTGCTGCCAGTATTCAACCACCCCCTGAAAGTTGCCGGCGAGATAGGGATGCTTGACGCTATCTCGGGCGGACGGCTGTATTGCGGATTCGGGCGCGCCTTTCTGCCTCACGAGTTCCAGCGTTTCGAACGTTCAATGGACGAATCCCGGACGCGGTTTGAAGAGGGGATGGAGGCGGTGCGCCAATTGCTGGAACGGGAGAATGTGACCTTCGAGGGCCAATTCTACCGCTTCCGGAACGTCACATCGCTGCCTCGCCCGACTCAGCAGCCGCGGCCGCCCTTCTGGACAGCCGCGCTGGGAACTGCGGAATCGCTTCGCCGGGCTGGAGAGCGCGGCTTCAACCTGATGCTGGTACCGTTCGCGGGGCCGCAAATGCGCGAGGCCATCCAGGTCTACCGCGAGGCTTGGCGGGAAGCGGGCCATCCAGGGGAGGGCAGGGTCGCACTGGGGTTCCACATGTTCTGCCACACAGACCGAGAGGAAGCCTACCGCATTGCACGGCCAAACATCGAAGCCTATTTCAAGTCCCTTGTCGCTGCTGCGGAGCTGGATTCCGGCTGGGGAGCCGGGACGTCCTCAGGGGACTACCCCAACTACGACAGCCACATGGACAAGCTGCGCCAAGCCAGTTTTGACTCCCTGCTTGGCAGCGGCACGATTTGGGTAGGGACGCCCGACGACATTGGGGGGCAAATCGCTGATTACCGCGATGCCGTAGGTGGATATGATACCGCGTCCCTGCAGGTCAACTTCCACCGGATCTCTGTCGAAGACGCTTCTGCCTCCATGCGGCTCTTTTCCTCAAGAGTGATGCCCAGCTTTTCCCGTTAGCCCAGCCCGCGCTACACCCTTCTTGCCCTGTCAGCACCCATCTGCCTCTCCTCGTCTCACTCCATATTTTCTTCACAATTCAGAATACTAATCTTCATACATTATCTATTGACGCAATTATATAGGGCATATATCATTATATTGAATCAAGTAGCGCTTATGTTATCAAGAACATAACAATTCAAGAGCACGGAGGAAGGAACAGAAATGGTCACCATGAACCAGGGCGTAAGGGAAGTCAGGGACGTAGGGTCCAAGTTCATCCACAAGATGGAATTCGGCGTCATGGCCGCCTACAACTGGATCTCCGGCCCCGCGATGACCGATCTCGACCGGATGCAGCTCCGGATTATGGAGACCGAACCCCTGCGCCGCTTTCCGCAGACCCCCATTTAGCAAGAAGTGACCCGCTGGCATTACCGTTGAACGGGTCAGGCCACAATCCAGAGCAACCGAAGAGGGGCAGATGATTCATCTGCCCCTCTTTCATTCCCGACGGTTGCGTAAAAGACCTACCGCGAGCGGGCGAGTCGGCTAGAAGGGTAGTTCCTGTCCGATACCCTGCTCCCTGGCCTTGCGATACACCAACTCCGCGGCGGCGATATCCTCCAGTGCGACGCCCATCGACTCGAACAGCGTCACCCCCTCCTCCGTCCTGCGGCCGGGTACCCGGCCGGCCACGACGTCCCGCAGCTCGTGGGCCATGTCCCACCGGAAGCTGCCCCTGGCTTCCAGCCACATCAGGTCCCCGCATTCGATCTTGGCCTGTTCCAGATCATCGACCACTATCAGCTCTGATCGCAGCACAGCGGCCTCGTCTATTTCCATGCGCAGCCAATGGTTTCCACCAGCGGCGTTTATGTGCGCTCCTTCGGCGAGCCATCAGGGCGACCGCTCCCGGCGGATACCCTTCTCAACCACGTCGCATCCCACAATAACAACGCCCCGTTCTGTGCTTAGGCCAACAGCAGGGGATCTAGCATCTCTCCAGCGGCAACTTTCGCCCCACGCTGCCCTTCGCATCTTTTACTCCCGTGCCGCGCTTTTCCTTCCTGATTTCCTTCTCATAAGTACTCGTCCTCCAGGGGTATCGGTTACGACGGTAAAGCAAATCAAAGAGTCTGGGCACGGTACTCACGGACGCACGTCAATCGTATCGTTCACTGCTACGCTTGGCGAAGTCCTCGCGCCGTTCCTGCCTGCGCTGCGTGTCTGAATATCTGAACACACGAGCTCCCGGATGGGCGACGGCGCGGGGACCGCCTCCAACTGGGACCTAGCCTGGAATCCGGATCCGATCACAGCCACTGATTTTGCGGCCTCCCGGGCCATATAGCGGCTGGCGAGGCCGCTGGCCGCGCCGGTACGTATCTGGCCCAGGCGCCCCGCCTCACGCAGGCCAGCAGCTCTCCAGACTGGTAGTCGTAGAGCATGACCATCATCTTTGAGCCGCCAGGCCCAGCAGACGACGGATATGCCTTGTACCCGAAGACGCCCTGCCCTTCGTGGCGCGGCCGCCCATAATGAAAGAAGCCACCGGGCATGGCGAATCTTGACCGGGCTGTTGTCCACCTGTCCTTGCCCGGCATTATCAAGGCTCCGGTCCAAGGCATCTATGCACTCATCCATGGCATGGAGGCTGCACGCCCTCTTCTCGCTCAAGCGATGCATTACATCTCTCCACCGGGCCAGGTTTTAACCAGTTTTCTTGTAGCGCACTACATTTAGCATACCCGATTCTGGCGTGAGATGCGGTCATTGGCTACACTAGAAGAACAGTAGTTGTATCCACGGCAACCTGAGCTACAGGAGACCGCCATGAGCCAGCCGCGGGCCTTTGTCAGCCGGATGATGCACCCCGACGCCATCGCGCTGATCGGGGAGGCCACGGAGATGGAAGTGTGGCCCGACGACCCGCCACCCGCGCCAGAGATGCTGCGGTCCAGGCTGGCCGACACGGAAGGGGTTCTCATCAACATAATGGACCGGGTGGACACTGCGCTATTAGACGCGGCCCCCAAGCTGCGCGTAATCAGCCAGTTGGCAGCGGGACTGGACAATGTTGATTTCCCGGAGTGCACCCGGCGGGGCATCCTGCTTGGCAGCACGCCGGGCATCCTTTCCAAGGCAGGTCGCCGACCACGCATTCGCCCTCCTGCTTTCGGCCGCGCGCCGAGTCGTCGAAAGCGACAAGTGGGTGCGCGGAAACAATTGGGAGCTGGCCTTTCACCCCAATTATTGGCTGGGCAGTGAGGTGCAGAGCAGCACCCTGGGCATCGTCGGGCTCGGACAGATTGGTCTGGAGATGGCCCGGCGCGCCAGGGGGTTCGACATGCGCATCCTGTACCACTCGCGCAACCGCCGTCCCGACGCCGAGGAGGAGTACGGCCTGAGCTACGCAACGCTGGACGATCTGCTGACCCAGTCAGACTTCGTATCCCTGCATGTCCCTCTTACCCCGGAGACGCGCCACCTGATAGGCAGGATGCGCTGCGGAAGATGAAGTCCACGGCTATCCTTGTCAACATTTCAAGGGGCCCGGTCGTGGATACGGACGCTATTTGCACCGCACTGCGCGAGGGCTGGATCGCAGGGGCTGGTTTGGACGTGGTCGATCCGGAGCCAATTCCCGACGACCACCCGCTGCTGTTCTTGGACAACGTGACCATCACCCCACACATCGGGAGCGCATCCGTCCTGTCGAGACGGGCCATGAGCATCATGGCGGCCCAGAACCTGATCAACGGGCTGAACGGCCAGCGGCTGGTGCATTGTGCCAACCCCGAGCTTTACGAGCGGTTGGGAATTTAGGGTAAGAGACGGGCAACAGGCAGGATCAGTCTGAGGTGCTCGAATACAGCCCCTGAATTTCCGTCAGGCTAAGGGTGAATTCTGCGCGATCTCCCCACCGCAGTGGGGGCAGGTCGCGGCGGTGTGAGCATGCCTGCGGTGCACTTGCTCCATGAATCCTGACCCCAGGATCCCTGCGGGCAGGGCGAAAATTCCGACACCCAGCAGCGCCACGAATCCGGCGAGGAGGCGACCCACGGGCGTGATGGGCACTACGTCTCCATAGCCCAAGGTAGTTACCGTGATGACGCTCCACCACATGGTTGCCGGGATGCTGGAGAACTTCTCTGGCTGTGCGGCGTGCTCTACGAAGTACATCAGCGTCGAGGCGAGGATAATCAGCGCTCCTACCACCGAGACCACCGCCAGCAGTTCGCTCCTACGGGATTTAGCGACAGCGACCACGGCCTGCATTCCAGCCGAATAGCGCGCCAGGCTGGCCAAGCGGCTCAGCAGGCGCAGCGTTCGGAGGGCGCCAAGATCCAGCGTCGTCGGCAGGAACAGGATGATGAAGTAGGAAAACACTGCGGTCGCGTCCGCCACCATCAGGGGACGAAACGCGTAGCGCAGCCGGCCGGTAACGGGGTGGGAATAGGCCGGACTCGGCAGTGCACGACCACATCCGCAACAGGTACTCGACGCCAAAAACGCAGAAAGACGCCATCTCGAAGTAGCGGAAGAATCCACCAGCAGTAGAGTGAACTCTGCTGTCAGTGCTGGCGATTATCGCCGCCACGTTGGCAACAATCAGCAGCATCAGGGCCGTGTCTACCGCCTGGCTGGCCCGGTCGCCTCTCTGTCCAACCTCGAGGATCTCGTGAACCCTGCGCTTCACCCTCACCAGCCACCACCCGGAATGAGGGCTCGCGTCCTCAACTGTGCTGTACGCCGCAGCAGGCACCACACTCATAAACCAGCGCCAAAAGTAGAAATCGACAGTCAGATGGTAAACCTGTCGACCACGAAGATGACAGCAGTTGAGGGTGGAGTTGGAAGCGATTCCGGCGTATCGGGGCCTGACGATCGGGCCATTCTATTGGACAGAGGATTGACAACAGCCAAGGGTGGTGCCCGTCCGACCAGCCCTATGGCGATATTCGCAGTTCTCCAGAAGGCGATCCACTAGCTATGGGGAGGAGTCGCATACGCCAGGCCCAAAGGGAGTAGCGTTCCCTGCTTGGAGGGAATCTCAGTTACCCAGCAAGCGCCCGCTCATCCCTTAGAGGGTGTCTAAAAAGGTAAAAGGCGGGTGAGTCTGCGTAGCATGAGCCCGGTCATGGAGATGTACAGCCAGGTTTCGGTGGTTTCACACAATGCCTCGTAATCTTTGCTCAGTCGCCGTTGCAGGTTCAGCCAGCCGAAGGTCCGTTCCACCACCCAACGTCTGGGCAATACTTGAAAGGTCTTCTGCCCAGCGGGACGGCGCACTAATTCCAGGCTCCAACCGGCGGTCTTCTGGGCCCACTCCACCAGTTTGCCTCCGTAGGCTCCGTCGGCCCAGATCACCTTTAGCCGGGGGCATCGACCCACCAGCCGTTGTAATACCAGCCGGGCGCCGTCTCGATCCTGAATGTCGGCCGGATGCACCGCCACCGCCAGCAGCAGTCCCAGGGTATCCACTACGATGTGGCGTTTTCGCCCTTTCACCTTCTTGCCTGCGTCGTACCCTCTGGGCCCCCTTTTTCAGCGGTTTTCACCGATTGGCTGTCGATGATGGCCGCGCTGGGTGTGGCCTGGCGGCCCTGAGCTTGCCGCAACATGGCATGCAGCGTGTCGTGGGCTCGTTGCCAAGTTCCATCCCGGCGCCAAGTACGGAAATAATGGAATGCGGTGCGCCACGGCGGCAGGTCGTGGGGGAGCATCCGCCAAGAGCAGCCGGTGCGCAGCACGTAGCGGATGGCGTTGACGATCTCGCGCCTCGGATACTTGACCGGCCGCCCTCCAGGTTTGGGTGGCGGCAACAACGGTTCCAAAAACTGCCACTCCCGGTCGCTGACATCGCTAGCATAAGCAGGTCGTTCCATGCCTCCACACTACAACCAACTCCCAGGTTCCTGCCTTCGTACCACTATCCCAGTTACACCCTTTTTAGACACCCTCTTATAGATCACTCCCAGGTCTTATCAGCAGCACCGGGCACCCTGACTGTCGAACTACCCTTTCAGCCACGCTGCCCAGCAACATGCGCCCCACACCCGATCGGCCGTGGGTAGTCATCACCACCACAGTGCCTTCTTCAGAAGACGCCGAGTCCACTATCGAGTCCGCCGGCGCACCTTGGGTTACGACTGTTTCGACAGATGCGATGCCCTGACTGGCAAGCCTGTCCTTGACGTCAGCCAAGTAGCCGCGAGACTCTCTCGCAGCAAATTCGACCATCTCAAGAATCGATGGGGAAGACGGCAGAGACGTGGGCACGAGGCCTGGGCCGGATGCCATATAGCTGTAAATACTCCGCCTCCGCAGGCGTTACTTGAAGCAACTTCACAGGCAATCCCAATGCGGACGCCAGGTAAACGGCATGCGGCAAGGCTAACTCAGCCAGTTCGGAACCATCCAGTGGAACGATCAGGCCCTGTGGCGCAGCTGAAGGCAAGGCCGAAGCCTGCTCCTGAACCCTAATGATCAGCAACGGATTGTCAGCGAGGTGCAGGACCTTGTCGGCCACACTGCCCATCCACCATCGGGCCAGGCCGGACCGCCCATGGCTTGCCATGGCGACGAGGGCGCTAGGTTCTTTACCAGCCTCTTCTACAATCCCACCGACAGGATCCCGGTGCGGTATCGTTGTATCGACATCGAGACCTGTGCCCCGCAGACCAGCAGCGGTACTGTTCAGATATTCAATCGCCTTTGCTTCCCTAACGCTGGCCGGCTCGATCCACCTGCGGGTGGAGTAAAGAGACTGCGTAATGGCAGGGCTATCGGGCTCTACAGAATGGAGTAACCTGACTGGAATGGACAGCCTTGTAGCCAGCGAGTTGACGTATGGGAGGGCCTGCTCTGATTCGTTAGACCCATCCAGCGGTACAATGATGCGAGTGAAACCTGCCATTTCCCCCTCCCTAGTACTACAACGACGGCTTTAGGGTGGCGGCTCCATCCTGCCATCGCGGCGGGCGGAGCGGCGTCTCTCGTGGGAACGGCGAGCCCGTTCGTTGCGTAGCTGCGTATCCTCCAGCCACAACAGCAATTGATCGGGCCCGAACTGCTCCCGGGGTAGCATCTCACGCACCACCCGGTACACCTGCGGTCTCGTGATCCGGGGCATCTTTTTCCCCCCAATCCTGCTGCAGGCCCAGCAGGAACGCTCCTCCCAGCAGGCACATGGCTATGTGGTGATGCCACCCTGCCCAGCTGCGGGTCTCGTATTCGTCCAGCCCCACGTCGCCCTTCTCAGTCTCGAACTCCGTTTCAATGCGCCACCTAGACCCACCCACGTAGGCCAGAGTCTCCAAGGTTGTGTCCTCAGGAGCGTTGGACAGGTAGTAGCGAGGCTCGCTGCCGTCCAGGTTCCGGCGCCAGACGGCCCACAGTTCCTCGCCGGGCTTGCGCCTCTTGGTGGCCCGCACCCGCTGGGCACTGAACCGGTAGGTGCGCGGCCCCTGGCTTCCCTGGGCCACCGTTATCTCCCGCCAAGCCTCATCCGGCAGTTCATCACCGCGCTGCTCCATGGTCCGGCGCTGCCCATCCCGCAGCTTGGGTTTGCGGGGGCGCCCGAAACCTGGATATTCCGTACTGGTCCAAGCCGGGTCCAATGGCCAGACCGTGGTGCCGCCCGGAACGTCCAACACGTAGCGCATCCCCAGGGCCGCCAGTCCCTCCCGGAAGGTCGGCGACATCCCGAAGGCGTCGTCTCCGGCAACCCACTCGGCCCTGAGGTAGCCCAGCTCCAGGACCCGCTCCAGCAGCTCCAGGGCCAACTCCGTCTTTGACCGGTAGTTCCGCCGGTCCTCCGGCACACCCGCCGCAGCACACCGGTCCTGGTCGGAGGTCCAACTCTTGGGCAGATACAGCCGTTTGTCCACCAACGCCCGGCCCAGCGGGCTGACGTAGGCCAGGAACATCCCACCCTGGCAGTTGGCCACCTTGCCCAGCCTGCCGCAGTACTGCCGGGCCACTCCCGCCGATTTCCTGCCCTGCTTGGGGAAGTCGCTGCCATCGAATACCCACACCGCCTCCGGGTGTCCCAGCCTGGGGGCCAAGTATTCCTGCAACCGCCCTATGACTGTCTCATCGGACCACCGGGCCTCGGTGAGAAAGCGCTGCATCGCCCGGGCCGAGATGCCCACCGATTCCGAGAGATTCTCGGCGTTGCGCCGCTCCTGGTCCTGCACCAGCAGCGCCTGAAGGTAATTCCCGCTGTGCTCCCGCCACTGCTTGCGGCCGAAGGAGGCCGCAAAGAAGGCCTGGAATTCCTGAAGGCTGTCGTAGACCCGCTCGAAGCTCTCCGCATCCATCACCCAAACCACCCAACATCATCTGTCCAGCCATCCTACCAGACAACTCGTCGTTGTAGTACTAGGGCCCAATACCGGTGCAGAACTGAGTCTTGGCCGATCCTAGGTGACGTTCCGGTCCAACCGGTTGGCGCCAGCGCCGCCGCCACTCTGGGTTCTTCACCTTGTTTGAAGTTTAACATTATGCAGTAGAACTCGGGATACATCTATACCCTTGTCCGTGGGCCATTCGAACCAACGCAGCAAATGATGCATTATCACGCCATTCCTACGTCGGATGGTTGTGAGACTCGGGTATCGATAGCTTTGGCTGGTACTCGCGATTCCGGGCTCCGATTTGCCCAGAATGGTGCTTATTTCCTTATTAAATTCCGTTCTAAGTGCAATTAACCCCTAACTAAATGGTGAATGATGCACAATCTAAACTTAATTCTTTCGGTTTCATAAATTAAGAGACTATCCAGCACAAGCAATTTAGTTGTATTCAACCTAATGGGCTCTTTGTTTAAAGTATGACTCGACCGCCGTGGATTGTTTTCTCTGGTAAGCGTCTTTAGTAGGGAGGCTAAAGGTAACCTGAATGGGTAATTTCCCTTCTTAAAGATATGTGATCATAGCCCAGATTGACCTATAAAGCCGTAATTGAATAGATATCAATTCCCAGCAATTGGATCCCTTACAAAAAGGCCGGGCAACTTTGGCCTGTAATACAAACCTCGTATCAAGCAGGCGGAGTCGCAGGCGTATGGGCACCCAGCAGCTGCAACGCGATGAGGAAATTCCTGACTAGTGGAAATCCCAAGAGATTGGGATTCTTGCTGGCACTCGCCAATACGAGAGGCGCAATAAGCGATTACGCTGGCCCGGTACGTACAGTTAGAGAGGCGGATTAAGAGGTGTTATTTCCCGGCTATTTCAGTCCATGGTAGAGGGGTGTCATTGCTTGCGCTGTTTGCAGCCGTCACTCCCCAAGGATGGGGTGCGTTCACCACAGCCCTGTTCTTTCTCGAGGTCCTCGAATCTCCCGTCAAACCCCAAAGCTGGCTTTGTGGCGATCCTGTCCGAGGGGTTGTGCCCACGACATTCACCACACCTTTCCCAGAGCCGGTGGGGTTTCACCCTACTCCGCCAGTCCGCTGCGCTGTCCATTCATATGTATCGAATTGTCCGCACTGCTCAGTGAGCATCGCCTCAGGAGCCTTCGCCGAATCTGACAATCTCAAAGAGGAATTGCCATGAACGCGAAACATCACGGTACATTGCTGTGGATAGTTGGGAATTGGCCGGAGGCATTCAGCAGTTCTTGATGCGAATCCACTTGGGGGTGGTGCCCGGGCAACTCCGTTGCTCCGGTTGTTGCAGCCTCCGGCTGTGCTCCGTTCGAGTCTATTTCATCCAATCGATATATGGTGACCAGCAGGCTACCACCCAATACGATGATCATATAAATGAGCGTAGCCAGCGAAGACCATACCGCGCCGACGCGGTACCTCTCCAGCAATTCATCAGGTGAGTAACCCAACGCCCCGAAATCAATTTCCCACGATCTAATAAGGGTGTGATCGGGTATCGCCAAGGGGCTCGGTTCCAGGTAAAGGATCAAAATTGTGGCAGCACCAACGGCTGTGAGAATCAAGATTACCCCCATTGCCGCTTGTAACAGCAACTTCCTTTCCCATTTCCTGAAGACCACGTCTTTATCACGCATAGCTAGAATAGCCATAAAGGTACCGCCCGTGATCGAGAAAACCAGCATCAGGAAAATCCACATTCCGAAGCAGCAGATGAAAAAACTGAAAACGTAAACAAACAGCAGCGGAGGGAACGCCGTTACTGCGGCTCGGTGGTAGACATTCTTAAATCCACGATTGCTTGAATACTGCCATCTCCACAAAAAAATCGAACATCACCTGCCAACAGCGCCAGCCCCAGATTCACCAGCGTGGCCAGCAGGTACGGATAAGGCGTATTCGCAAACTCTCCCATAGCGTAGAACCCATACGGGTCCATCTTCGTGGCCGGAGCCTGAAGCAAATTTCCGCTGATCAGGAAGAAAACGGTTAAGAAATAAACTTCTCTGATCTCGTGGGAGCGACGCACCCGCAGAAACCCCTGTACCAATACGAGCAAGACGGCGGTAGCCACGTAGAGGGACATGATCCAGCCGGCGTTCCAACCCAAGCGGGCCAACATGTAGCCAACGCCAGCTACTGCCAGTCCGGGAAGGCCGAATTTGGTCAGGATATAGCGGGTGATCCGGACCGTATGGGTGGGTAAGTGAACGACAAGTTCCGGAGACGCCTCTACCGGGGATACAATGGGCTCTGCAGCGACCTCAGACACCAGGCCCTTTCCCGCATCCGACTGCGGGCCTTCCGCAATTTCATGAAGGCCAGCCAGCGAGATGAGTCCCTCAACCTCGGCTGCGGATAGGTTAAGCGCTTTGCCGAATACCTCGAGGCGCTCCTTGGAGGGTCGAGTCGCTCCGGATTCCCACCTCGCCACCGTCGAATGGTTATACCGTTCCAGGTATACGGGGTCCACTTGTCCCATGAGTTTGAGCAGTCCCTCCTGGGAGAGTCTGCTCTTACGTCCATCATTTCCATAAGCGTGTCGGTATGCTTGCATCAACATACCAACCTGCTTGGCTCTAAAGCGTCTGGAGTCAGGATCTAAAGAAATATTCATCATAGTGATAGTTGAGAAGGGGTGCTTTCAATTGCGAAGCGACACGTATGAACCAAGGAAATGATTCTCTCAGGCTAAGGTTTTGTGTGCAAGCAAATCCATAATTTTTGATATTTATGCGGTCAAATTATACAAACAAAAATCTATTGAGAATTCCATCGAAAATTCAATAGTACAGCTTCTATTCCATTATATTATATTTGATTCAAGATTCTTATGTACAAATTACACATATTTATCTTTTGCACTATCACAGGGATGTTCCCGCTGGGCTCTCACATTCTAAGTCTCCCTTCGAATTAAATTTCCTTACTGCATGAAGAAATATAGTCCATTGATATGTCGTCTTGTGCAAGAATAGTAATATCCCACTATTACCCATTCAATTACATCGGAATTTCATCTCTTCAATGATACAAACATTTCTAATTCAACTCGTCAAATGAGTACGATAAGAACCACTTCGAAACCCAAAAAGCAATAACGTCTTATCTCTCCGTGTACGATCTTCCCGGACAGGACCGGGACTTTCTTCTCGAGAGATATGACCCATAGCCCGCACCTATGCTACGCGCACCCTTCGACTTCAGGGTGCTGGCCTTGCTTAATATTTGGTACTATTAAACTTACGATTGAGGAAAGTTGATTGGATCTATCAGAATCTGCAAGGGAAATATAATTGACCACACCACCCACTGCACAGCAACCTGGTGCAGCAGAACCTCATGGACTCCAGACGTGCGGCCCGGGCACCCCTATGACTTGAGCGAGTCTTTCCAAATCAGAGAATTCAACGGCG